TCATATGCACATAATTAGAACATAGAAATTTGGAAAAGAGGAAAGATTAATGACGAAAAAGGACATCGCGTCGTGTCGTTAAATTTCAAAAACGTCACAGACTAGACAACAATGGTGGAAAATATGAGCGCAAGTTTCAAAGTTCCATCAACATTCTGCAGCCAGAATAAAGGATGGTGTCAAGTAGATTCTTCAAGGCGGATCTTTCTCGTGACTCGAAAAGGAATCGTTTTTCGCTTAGAAACAGATGAGGGAGCCAATCAGAAAACAAATTAGAGAACGGAGATTGATATAATCCCCGATCTTCAAGGACAAGGGGACTTCTTCTGTAAACTGTGCTACTGAGTACTTGCACTCCAAAAAGTCCGGAGCGAAAACTCTCTGTGTGTGTCGACGCACAGAAGACGCAGAGTCCGCACAAGTGTCCATCGAAAGAGCTGTGCCGCCGACACCTCCCGACAAGCCTCCTTACCTGCCGCAGCCCCGGGGCCCATCTCCGAGTGACGAGAGACAAACATCCACGACGTCCAAACAGTCGACTGTATCTAGATAATTCTAGTTCCTAGGTGTAAGTTTAATTTTATGTATAAAATAAACGGGTTATTGTGAGATTCTTGTCATCTGTGTCTCCTCCACCACACCCACACACGTTCGACCCTAGATCATTCTGACGCGGGATTAACAATTCCCCCCGGAAGTCGGCGAACTTACATTAAACCATTCCCAATACTTTTTGATCATGGGTAATTGAGTCTAAACTGTAAAATTTCAATTAGACAAAAACTTCTTCATATATTTACATATCAATGAATAGATTTATATTTCTTTCATGTCACACATCTCACCATTTTATAATGTGTTCTTATAATAATCCCCAAATATATACATAGTTATATTTATCTTTAGAAACAGTGAAAATCTTTATATCTTTATAAAAATTGTCTAAAATAAAATGTGATTATAGTATGAAAAATTTTTTGTTTTGATACATTAATAAAACCCATGAAAACAGAATGATTTTATTAATGCAGAAAATGAGAAGTAGTGAAAAATGTTATAACTTATATTTAGAATTGCTTTTCCAGTTTCCTCCAACAAAAATGTTTTCCTACTTATCTTCTCTACTAATATAAGTGTTTTACGTTTCAAAGATATATTGAAATATACCAAAATGTGTACATGGCACAGAAGAAAAGTTCATCATAAATCTATAATGTATCCCTTATTATTCAAAACTTAATTCATTTACTATCATCAAGTTAGACTAACTTTTCAATTTTTATTTAAGATAAAAGAATAATTACTCTAAGAAATTAATTTTTGTTATTTCTTATATCAGGAATATTAATATAGTATTGAATTTTGGCTAATTCTAAGTAGAAAATTTTTAATTTTTGTCAGCACTAGTGTTGACAAAAATCAATTAATTCATTTTTAGTAAAACAAGTTTTTAAATATCGTATGCCAAACTATAGTTTCAAAATCATTTTGAATTTATTAGAATTAATGTGTTGTTATTATAGTTTATTATAAGCTTAACAAAGAAACAAATGATAATTTTAATTCTTGTTACTCTGCAGTTACTACAAATAATTTCATTTTACTTAGATTATGCTGGTACTTAAAAAATATTCCATGTTTTTGCTAAACAGGTTTCTAACTTACAATATTATTTTAGGAAGCAAACAGTTTCATTCTAAGATTTATCTTCCAGTTAAACACATTTCCTTTCAAAGAGAATCCATTTTAGATATGTTTTACTGTATTATATTAAACTTACTATTAAATTAGTGTCTATCCAGTTTGAGATTTTCTTCATCCAAGATTCAGGAAATGGTGCTATATGTTCAGATTTAAATCCTTTTATAATATAAAAATGATATCTCTGTATAAGAAAAACAATCAATAAATATACATTTGTGTTTATTCAAAAGAATTCCTTTTTATATTTTATTATTAATAAATTAAAATACAAATTTTAGCTTTTAATCAACATTATCATTAAATTTTATTCTGTTCTAATTAGATATAGGATTTGATTCTTCATTTAAACTAACAAAACCAAGAGTTTACTTTATTCAGAAAAAATTTTAACTTAGTATAAAATAAAAATCTCACTGATTACTTTCAGGATAATGCCTGTAACATTACTCTAAGAGGAAGTAAAATGGTTAACTATTGGCAAGCGCCAAATCCGACAGAGGGCGCTGTTTTTGAGCCAAGATGGCTGCCGAAACAGGTAAGGAACCGACCACGTGTCCAGTGCCTGAGCCGATTCAGTTTCTATCGGTGACGACTACTGCGAGGACCAAATGGAGAACAAATCATTGAACTTATGTCAAATTCTAGACTATATCGGCGACAGGAAACGTTGTCTTGTAGAAGGTGAAGCCGTTTTGAATATATGAGACATACAGTACACACACACAAAACATAATGTGTGCTACAAACTTTTGACTGGACTATGTTGTATAAGTGCTGAATGACTCAGCAGGGCAGCCTTCAGATTGGCACTAATTTTAACTATTATGATAAATAAAACTATGTTTTTATATTGGAACATGGTGTATACTGCTTAAAATATTTAAATACTTCTCACCTGTTAACGTGTAATAAACATGCTATCACATGTTTACAAAAACCAGACAGCTCCGCTTTGCACGTGCATTCTCCCTGTAATTGAGATGTATTAAAATGCCAATATCTGAGATTGCAACATTAAAGCAACAACATGAACTTCGGTGTTGTTGTTAGAGTTTAATCCACAAAATACGATGTGTCCAGCATCCAAAACGGCTTCACCTTCTACAAGACAACGTTTCCTGTCGCCGATATAGTCTAGAATTTGACATAAATTCAATGATTTGTTCTCCATTTGGTCCTCGCAGTAGTCGTCACCGATAGAAACTGAATCGGCTCAGGCACTGAACAAACACGTGGTCGGTTCCTTACCTGTTCCGGCAGCCATCTTGGCTCAAAAACAGCGCCCTCTGTCGGATTTGGCGCTTGCCAATTACATACTAGTTGCTTTTACTTCCTGTCATACATTTGATAAGAAGTTATATGGATCTAGAATCAGTCAGGAGAAAGCATTAAATAAATCCAGTATGCATTGAGATACAAACCTAGATTACTTCAAATTATTCATTTCAATGTCAAACATTTTTTAGATTCAAATATCTATAACTTAAAAATTTTTAACAAACATTTTAAAATATGTTCACTAAAACTTCAAACAAGCATTTGAAAATTTATAGATATTTTGACTATTTAAAAGAAATTTTAATTCAAAATGTTTGAAATTCAAATAAGTATATTTTTAAAAAGTCCAGAGGAAGATAGGATTTTTACTGAACATATATGGATGGAAATTAACTTTAAATTAAAGATTTTGCTGAGTTAAATAAAATTTGCTGTTTGTTAATATAAATATTTTAAATTTATTATTATTATGAAAAATAAACAAATATACAATCTGTTAAAATTTGCAAATCTCAAAAATTATTATTAGCTACATAATACTCTAAACATAATCAAACAATTAATTATAATTTTATATAAAAACTAATTTTTATGAATCCACAAAATCACGTCCTTTCTGAAATTAACATTCTGTGAAAAATAAATAAATTGTATTGATATTTTGATTGAATATTTGAAACTATAATATTTAAAATAAATAAAAATATTTTAATATTGTAATAAAATGTAATAAAACCAATAAAGTTATTGTAAAATTTATTTATTTTTTTATTGCTTTCCAATAAATTAGGTAAATTACAATTCAAAGCTATGAATGTATTAAACAAAAGTTGTTTCTCAATTGTTTTAATAGTTGAAATATTCAAATTAACCTAAATATCTCCTCTGTGTTGAAATTATATTTTGAGACACCATGAAGTGTTGATACTAGACACTGGACTTAACCTAAATAATTTATGAAATATCATTGGGGTGGCTTTATACTAATGAATCAGGTTTCGGAAGATGTTTATATATGAAATATCTTATTCAAATAATTAAACTATATAGTTAGCTACTCTCAATACAGTTAACTATTACTATAATTACAATTAAACTATTAGTTATCTATATGTTTAGTTTCAACTACTCTAACTGGTTTTCCTTTTAATTCACCATAATGTTGTCTTGGAATAACCTATTGTATTAAGCACAGTAAACATATTTTAATTTTTATGAAGATTGATTCAACTTTTGCCAAAGTCAACAAGTTTTGCTCAACTTATTTTACTTGTTTTTGAGCAATTGTAGCATTTAAAATTCTTATCTTGCCAGTTTATAAAAATCAAATTTAAACAAAAATACCATTTTGGTTTTGCTATATTTCACCACATACATATAAGAAACATCGCTTGTCATGTAAGTATAGTTTTGTCTTATGCCTAGCAAGTTCCCCCCGCCATAATGGAATGTCCGACATGGTTGTTAAGCCACTGGAAAAAATGGAAGCGAAAGGGTTGACGGGAAAGTTTTTTTGAGGAGTTGTCATGGGAAAAGTGTGGTTTGTGGTCCTTGAGTGTGGAAGCTGTTGCCAGGTAGCTGAGTAAGAGTAAGTGAAAAATGATCGTAGAGAATTATAAGACAAAGGTTCAAAGGAGTACTTTAATTAGTGAAACAAAGATCTCCAATGAAAATTTGAGTATGTGAGGAGAGGTGGTGAGAATTCAAATTTAAACTCTGTCTTTACCGTGTACAATCTCTAATGAAAGAGGACTCTTAAAATTATTGTCAGGATTCAATTGTACTCTGTGAGATACCTTTGATGCACTGTACGTCCTTCAGGATAAATTTCTCACCAAATTAAATTATTGTTCTGTTACATTTTTGTTCATTGCCCCTGTCTCGTTTCACCTGACAGCAGTGGATCAACTCCCACAAGTGTCTAGTTTATTCTGTTCACTTGTTCCTTCTACTGGCCTAACATAGAAATTAATGTTTTTGTTTTTCGATTTGTTCTATTCCCATTCTCACATTTTTATTTTTCTTTGTACTTGAATCAAGTTTCTTAAACTCTTTACATTCTATGGTCATTAAGAGAGCTCTTTTAGCAAGCTCATTACAGGTTTGGCCAGGATCACATTGGAATGACTGGGTGATTAAGGATGAGTCCAGTATATCAAGATGGACCACCATTGAAAAATTCCTGGAATTTTTGATCCCCTAGATTCAAACTAGAGCAGTAGATAGCCATCTTAACCACTTGGCTATTCAGCCAACACTTGCATTGAGTTATTATTTATCATTCTTTTCCCTAAATTAAAATGATTGGCAGAAATTTTCATGTAAAACAAAACAAAGAATTTGCAAAACAGCAATGTTACTTTGAGTATATTACACAACTATTTGCATATAAAGAATGATTTTTAGTACAGTCAACCCCCCTATAACACTGTTGATAATTCCGTTTTATATGAATTCCATGTTGTACGAGTCACTTAGATTTTACAAATACGTGAGCCATTCACAGCCCGGCACACGTATTTGTAAAATCTAAGTGACTCGTACAACATGGAATTCATATAAAACGGAATTATCAACAGTGTTATAGGGGGCGACTGTATACAACACTATCTTTGCTAGTAGTGATACAGTGGAATGTCTGTTTTCCTTTTCAGGACAAATTTTAACATCTAGATCAGGGGTGGCAAACCTTTTCGAGTCCATGTGTTATATAGTGAGCATAATTATCTTTAAAAATATTTATGCTTGCCAAAGTTTTCGACTTCAAATAACAATATTTAAAGAAATGAAACAAACATGCTTTAATTGGAATAAATGTAAAGAAGCTGATTGAAAAAAGGATGATCAAATGATAAATTGAAAGTATTATTAAAAAAGATGGATGATAAACCATAATTATATAACATGTTACATGCCAGTTGATTCTCCCAATGTGCCACTTTGGGTACTGTACATGTGTCATAGCTTCATCATCCAACCTAGATGATGTAGAATGTTGAATGAAATACAGTATTTGAAAAACATATTCTAAGATATCAGTTAAAAAGATATAAAAATATTATTATATATAATAAAAATGAAATGAAAACAGGACTGTTATTTTAATCCAGTCTAATATTTTGTTTTTCTATTTCTGATTTTCTATTTCTTAGTAGTTTAAACTAAAAAATACAAACTATTTAATTAACTAGTAGTTAAATTGTTACATTGCCTTTTATACTAGTTAGCTATGTGATTAACTAATGCTAAATACTAATGCTAAACACTAACTGCATAAAAAGATGCAGTTAGTGTTTAGCATTAGTATTTAGTTATATCTTTGCTTTTATATTAAAAATAAAAATAGCAATGATCTATGTTTCAATTCACACTCCTTTTCCTGAAATAACTTTTTATTATTGACTCTTAATGATGGCACATAGCACAAAGCACTAGAATTTTCTAAAACATTTATCTCCAAGAAAAGCAGTTTGAGTTCAATTTACATTTGGAAAGTTTCCTTGACAATAGCACAATATATTTATTTCAAATAATGATTTTTATATATAGCCATATTTAATAGATGTCATTGTTAAAAGAATAGTATTCAATTTTTGAATTTTCACAATAATATAATTTATGGTAACATAATATAAACATATTATATTTTATCATCATTAATTAATCCCATTTTCAAATTATAACATAAGACCATCATCACATTAAAATGTTTGAATATGTATTTACATATAAATAAATATTTGTTTTATAAAATTTTTTTATTTATGTACAGTTGACCTTCTATGCAATGAACTGGCTCCAGAATACACAATGTACTGCAACAATTTTTTATTCTCCATGAAAATATCCCTGTACTTGCTTAATAACAAAATAGTGTTAGTGTAGATGTACTGTATACTAGTATTTTTTATTTAAATTTAGAAAATATATCATGATTAATAATAATTATTATTACTTATATTTACAGCAGTATACAGTACTCTATGGATATTGTACTGTACTCATAATGGCTATCCACTAGTGGCTATAAAAGAAATGAGTTACTATTCAATTTTAATATTAATCAGAAGGAAAATAATATTTATGTTATTTCATCAGGTTTAAAAAAGTTTATTATATAGAAATTTAACTTCGTTAAATAGAGACATTTTTAAATGTTAAAAAAAAACTATTTTCACCATTATACAAAAAAATTTGTTTAAAAAAAATAAATTTGTAATATAGAACTTCAGAATATGAAAGTTCAGTTGTATCTGAATTTTAATGATCCAAAATAATTAACATAAAATTTAATTTATACAAATATTTGATCAAAATAAAAACCTCAGGAATGTATTTGTTACATACATTGAATACTACCTATACTTATTTATTAGAAGAAAATTAGAAAAGAAATTAGAATATTAGAAAATCATTATTTACCAATATATCCATTTCTGAAGCTGTTAACATATCAGGATGTTCATTCTTTTGCAAAGGTCTGTGATCACTTGGTCGCCTAAATATTTTAAAGAAAAAACAAAACTAAAATATATGTAATAATATTTACATATGAAACAATTTATATGCTATTTGCACAATTCAGAATAAAAATAATGCATGGTCAATGTTGATTCAGCAAGGCTTTAAAATCAAGTGTATCTGTAAATCAATGTCAATTATTATTGTAAAAAGTACACTTTGTTATTTTCTATCATAAATTGATACTGAGTTCCAAAAAAAATGACAATGTCTAGCAAAATTCAAAAACTTAAAAAGATTTAATTTTTTGCACTTGGTATAAAATTATTACATTATAAAGTTATCTGTTGTTTTATAATTATATATTATTTATCATTTAAACTCAATTTCACAAAAGCAAAATTTTCATACATACACTAGAACATGATTAAGAAGTTTTCTGTAATTTTCTCTTCTTTTTAGCATTGTAAAATAACCACCTGGCACAACTGATTTCCCTCCTTTCTTTGTTAGTTCTGAAAAATTTTGTAACTTTTTTATATTATCTTTCAACATTTTTCTATGTTTATAAATATTTAATTTTAAAATTATTTTATTTTAAATCTCTAAATCTTATAAATAGAAAAATAAAATAATTCTAAATTCTTTGTTTTATCTTTTTTATTAATGATTTATTAAATATTTATAATTGTAGTAATTATTTATTTCCTAAAAATTTATCATTAAAATAATTATTTATTATTAATATATTCAAAACTATTGTAAATAAAACTGATGACATTCAAATAAATTTTAAGTTGAAAATTTATAATTATTATTATTAACATTATGAGAATGAGAAATAGAATTAAAATTTAAAAGAAATCTGAATGATAAGTATTTATTTGTAAGGTTTTAAATTTTCCAGAATTTAATGTAGATAATGTAGAATTTAATGAGATAACAGTACATGGTTAATGTTACCAAAATATATGAGCAGTGAAAGATGTTCCTTACCATTCATTATCTCATCTTATTATAAATTATATTTAGTTATATATTCTGAAGATATTAAATGAAATGTCTATGAAAGATTCAAATTAATAATATTTTTCTAAAGCTGTGGGACAGAAAGGAGTTAAATAAAGCAACAATTTAGAGATACTCTTTATTTATATCCATCTGGTAACAATATAAACAGAAAATTTTAATACAGGTCTAATGAAGTCAACTGTAGTTAATTTCTATTCAGTCTTTCATATATACTGTTATTTATCTTTTCAAATTTTAAAAATGGAGTGTCAACATGGAGTTAGAATTAGAAGGTTAAGAGTTGTTACATCATCTTTTTAAAGAAAATACTGGTTTTTTGTTTTCAATTTAATCATTAGTAATTATTTTGATTTCTAAACTTTTTCAACAGAAAAATATATTTTTGAAACAAGATTATTAACATCAAATTTCATAAGAAACAACAAATATTTTGTGTTAACAATTCAAAAAGATACATGAAAAGTACAGTAGCTTTATAATTTCTCTGTCAATTAAAATAAGTGATGATTAATAAATTACAAATTTAGCATAAACAAAAAATGCAGCATATCTTTATTGAAAATTAACATAATAATTCTTCACATTGCGATTATAACTTATATTTTTAATTCTATATCATTTGTCCTTAAGGTCTACACATTCAAAAACTTAATAAATATCGATATATTACTTATATCTATGCTTAATTTGTTGTATCAACTCAAAGCATAATAAAAATGCAAAATTTGTCATTTCAATAAAAAAATAATAAAAAAGACAGTTATACCTCCTTCATATCTCTAAGCTAGTAACACAGCAGGCAGTACGATTTTGTAAACAAGACATANTTCTAAACTTTTTCAACAGAAAAATATATTTTTGAAACAAGATTATTAACATCAAATTTCATAAGAAACAACAAATATTTTGTGTTAACAATTCAAAAAGATACATGAAAAGTACAGTAGCTTTATAATTTCTCTGTCAATTAAAATAAGTGATGATTAATAAATTACAAATTTAGCATAAACAAAAAATGCAGCATATCTTTATTGAAAATTAACATAATAATTTTTCACATTGCGATTATAACTTATATTTTTAATTCTATATCATTTGTCCTTAAGGTCTACACATTCAAAAACTTAATAAATATCGATATATTACTTATATCTATGCTTAATTTGTTGTATCAACTCAAAGCATAATAAAAATGCAAAATTTGTCATTTCAATAAAAAAATAATAAAAAAGACAGTTATACTTATATATTCACTTTACCTACATATTTGAATATAATAGTTTTAAAAAATTAATTAAAAATAATCATTTCTAATTCTTATAAAATAGAAATCAATATATCAGCAAATTGACATTATTAGGATTCAATAATGATTTCTGACTTGTCATCAATTGTATCTTAAAATAAAATTTTGTTTTCTAACTACCTCAATTAACAAGTCAAAAAAGAAAAGAATAAAGATGAAAGACATGTGTTCTTTCAATAGAAAGCAAAAATAATTGTAATTGATTATAATCAATTACATCACATCTGACCATTGACAAACAAAAAAAAAAATCGAAGGCTTTGAAACCAACAGGCGTATGTTCAACATTTTAATTAAATTAACACAACAAATACTGTAGTTATTCTGGATATAACCGATATTTTAGACTCATTGACGTATGAATGATCGATATACTATAAATGGATTTATAATGAACATAAATCATCCTTTATTCGTAGTCGTTAATATCGAACCGATGATGAAATATCATTGCTGTTTCACTAAAAATTTTGTCAGTATATAATGACAGTTGAATAAAACGAATTACAGGATATATTAACGAGAAAAATACTACAACTTTATTTTTATCGACTTCCTATTGTTATAAGAAATCGTTATTTCTGTTGTTTTATGAGATGCATTTATTATTTTTAACGAAATTCACTCGATTTTTTCATCACTGTAAATAAATCATTAAAATTAATATTAAATATTTCATATTGAAGTATGTATTTTATATGGATCTAAATAGATAACATTTTATAACGTTAAATTCAAAATGGCTATCAAAATATTATACGTACTTCAACGTATTGAAACTAAAATATAGAATTAAATAAAAATTGCCAGGACATATATGACATTTACAGAAAAATATAGGATATATATTATGTCGGCATAGTAATAATAATGATATAAATTCACATGTCTGGCGTCACGAATACACGGTTCCTTCCCGCGAATATATGTGCATCATACTTGACGTAGTCTATGACTGCATTATCATTTTTTTATATTATTATTTTTTTAATTTTTTTCCCTGCGAAAATTCCCTTTTAAATCATAACCATTGTGTGAATTCGGTTAGTTCCACAATGGAGACAAGAAGTGAGGGACCCGACATATCCGCAATATGAAAATTACCCGGGTTCCAAAGAGCAATAAAGTGATGACTGAATCGCTCAGGACTTTCATAAATTCTCATTTTTCACTGGATGCTCACCCTCTAGTGTTTAAAAACAAAACTATTTTATCTTGGTCGTTTGAATCATTCTTGTATATTATAAGCAGTAAAGATGAATAGCAATAGAAAAAGTAAAGCTGTCTGTTGCGTTCCAAATTACAATTTTAAAACCATACGGGAGCCCAATATAAGTTTTCGTCTATTCCCGCATGAAAAACAGATGATTTGCGGGAGGATGGCCGAGCGGTCAAGGTGGCAGCCTACCGCTCTGGGGGACCCGGGTTCGCATCCGAACGGGTCGAAAAAATCCCCAGGAATTTTTCGGGGGGTGGTCGACCGGGAGGTGAGGCTGCCGGGTGGTGAGGGACGGGGTCGGGCCCCGCCCCTCACCACCCGGCAGCCCCATTGTGGGCCTGGCCGAACTCATAATGGGCTTGCAAAAAGAGGCCCTCTTAGTGCCCACAGGGCGGAAAGAGGAAAAAAAAAGTTACGGAAGCTCGCACCGGGCGCATAANGTCGGTTATATTTATGAATTTCTGAAAGAGTGGACTTAAAGTTTAAAATGCCAGTAATTTTGTGTGGGTCACAGGACCGGGGACCCACCAGTGGCCAAGCGGTCTTCGTACCCTGAATGCTGGAAGTTCGGTCGTGGGTTCGCGCCTCGCTTGAACGGACAGGCCACGTGGAGTTTTCCGTGTTTTCTCCACGTCTGTAACGCCTGAATAGGGGCCAGTTATTCTTAAAAGACTTCCCGGAAGGCATTATTCCCCGCGTATATATATAAATACTAATTTAATTCCGTCACACATTACTATGGGACACCATAGCCTAGCAGCTCTCGCCCAACGTGAAGACAAGACAAGGCCCTCTTAGTGCCCACAAGCAGAATGGTGAAAAATATTTCAAAAATGTTCATATATTGATTGTGTGACATTAGTAGAAAAGCACAAAGGAAATATTAACAAAATTTTAAAATCAACATAAAAAAATCATTTTCTGTAGCTAAACGTTTCTGAAACTACTTTCCGCATAGTTGCGTTCTTATTATTTAATTAAGAACAACGAATTCTTTCGAATTTGTTTCTTCTTTTGTATACTGTAATTTAAAATTGTCCGTTTTTTTTTAATCTTTCTAAATTTTTTTACTTTCGAAAATTCGTGTTATATAGCCTTAAATACACATTGCATATCCTATACAGTATATAATGATGGGCCGGATGGCCGAGTGGTCGAGGGTGCAGCCTACCGCTCTAGGGGACCCGGGCTCGAATCCGAATAGGGTCGAAAAATCCCCAGGAATTTTTCGGGGGGTGGTCCGTTCGGATATGTCGGGCCCTGTCTCTCACCACCCGGCAGCCCCATTGTGGGTCTGGTCGAATCCATAATGGGCTTCCAAAAAGAGGCCCTCTTAGTGCCCACAGGGCGGAAAAAGTTTTAAAAAAAAAGTATATAATGATGAATAATATAGATATATATTAATGTCCATATAAAACAAATCTAGATTTTTCTCAGAATTATATTCTCATTAACATCATTCGACCTTTAAAAAAGATAAATAACATAATATAATTAGATTCTAAAGGAAAATCATATCATAACGTTAAAAAACCGAAATTTTAGTCGACTATTTTTTCTTATAATTCACTTTAATTATATTATATCGATTAAAATGTAAAAAAGTATAAGATTTTTAATAGTGTTATAAACTTTACTCATAATTTGGTTATATTCAAAAATTCTTACTGTATTCTGCTAAATTCTTTCTTTCATTCTCAATCATCTTGATTTCATTTTCTACCTTCTTCAGTCTAGGTATTGTGAATCTATAAGCCAAAGTTGATTTTTCACTGTCTAACTGAGGTAATAAATCTGCATAAGTATAAGGAAGTTTGCTAGTTTGATCCTTTTTTTCTAACAAGTCAACCTGAAAATATACATAAATACAGATTTCATATTGTTCGGAAAGTTTTTCTTGAATATATTTCAATTTTATCGATAATACACATACCTTTGATCTTTTATATTTTAAAGTAATATCTATAGCTTCTGTATTTTTATCCATTTTTCCTATTTTAGCTGAACTACAAATTTACATTTATTCTAAATTAGAATAGTCTATATAATCGCGAGCTGTTCGAATCGTTTAAAATTTTGAAAACTTTTTTCTATTTTTGACTCTTCGCCCTGTGGGCACTAAGACTTTTCCAAACCCATCATGGGTTAGGCCAGGTCCACAATGGGAGCGGGTGATGGAGAACGGAGTTCGATATATCCGGAACAAACCGTCCATGAATTTTTTTTCTTTATTTTTAAACCCAACTCACTAATATTTTTTACTTTTCTCACCACTGAAATTTTTTAGAAAAATTTTCAGTTGAAAAAACATATGGTCATTGCTACATTCGTTACGCCCCAATTACGAATCTATCTTTAGTGTTGATTTATCTCAATATTATTTCGAGAATAGAGAAGAATTTTATTTAATAAATAAATGTAATTTATGTGATTTTATATTAACCACATTAACTTCCAGTTTTTTTCGTTAACTTGTACTAAAAATCAATTGAGATTTTGAAACTTATCGTGTTTGACGAGGTCATTGTACTTTAAATTTTACTTTTAGCATAGTTTTTAACGAAAGCATAAAATTGGACGAATAAAATCGATAAGATTAGGATCCGTTTTAATAAACATTTAATGGGAAGATGTAGAAAGGTCTTTAAACCATTCATTCATTGATATAAAAGTGCAAAATTCTCGATGTAAAGTATAAGCAACAGTTTTTGTATTGTACATGTGTCCTCTCTACTTTCACAAGTAGGTCAAATAGCAATTCAATGAAAACTACTTTTAAACAGGTTAAGAATACAAGTTGTATATCTCGTCTGAGTTCAGACTACATATTTTAGAAGATAGTGTCATCAAAAAAGTACTTAATGTTTTACAAAAATGTTATATGTGCCTCGTCTACATACTCTGCAATGGACTACTTTGATTTTAATAACAGTTGTCTGTTTGATGTCTTATGTGTGGTTTAATTGGGATAGTGTCATTGCTTCAGAAAGGTATTCTGATATTCTAAATTTACAAACATTTTAATTTTTAAATATAAAGCAAAGTTTGAGTAAAATTAGTTAATTTCTCTAATTTACCTATTAAGAAATAGATTATAGTTTCAAGTATACCAGCATAGTATTAGTGAGCTAAATAAAACTGTTGTATGGCGATTAAAATTTAGTATAATTGATACTAATGGAAACATCTTTTAAGTTATAGACACACAGATCTTTAATTAAAATGGTATCAAATTTATTGTTTAAAGTAAATATAATTATATAATCATATAATTAAAATTTATCAGTTAATAGAAATATATAATGTACAGTACGGTACATGCTCTTAAAATTCAAAACAAAATTGTTTTAAAGCATGTTTGTATTTTGAATTTAAAAATGTATTATTTGAAATCTAGTTTTTTCTCCTCTCAATTTAAGCAATTCTTATTCTTAAGGGCAATCATTACCACAATTATCCATGTGGATTTGCATGTACCCTGGCATGATAAAGTCGTATAAACAATCACGATGTTTTATTTTAAAAAATAATAATAATAAACATTTTTTCAGTCTATTTGATATACTATATCCCACTCTATATCCTGATGACTATCTATCATATAGACTGAAAATGCTTGATCTTTTTTTTTTTTTTTTTTTTTTTTTTTTTTTTTTTTTTTTTTTTTTTTTTTTTTTTTTTTTTTTTTTTTTTTTTTTTTTTTTTTTTTTTTTTTTTTTTTTTTTTTTTTTTTTTTTTTTTTTTTTTTTTTTTTTTTTTTTTTTTTTTTTTTTTTTTTTTTTTTTTTTTTTTTTTTTTTTTTTTTTTTTTTTTTTTTTTTTTTTTTTTTTTTTTTTTTTTTTTTTTTTTTTTTTTTTTTTTTTTTTTTTTTTTTTTTTTTTTTTTTTTTTTTTTTTTTTTTTTTTTTTTTTTTTTTTTTTTTTTTTTTTTTTTTTTTTTTTTTTTTTTTTTTTTTTTTTTTTTTTTTTTTTTTTTTTTTTTTTTTTTTTTTTTTTTTTTTTTTTTTTTTTTTTTTTTTTTTTTTTTTTTTTTTTTTTTTTTTTTTTTTTNGGGCCGGATCCGGCCCGTCTAATGAATTTATGTGGCCCGCGATCAATCTTTCAATATTAGCTACTCAAGTCCGAATAGCTCGATAAAAAATTCTGACGCCTAAAAAAAAAGGTTAACAACTCATTGTGCGTTTAGAGTTAATCCTCCATTACAAGTCTCTTAAGTACAGCATAGAATGTTGATAAAGCATGATAATGTGAAAAATGTATCTGTAATCTCTATCCACAATTTAGTCTCTACGGGGTGACACCATAATGAGATCTCGCACCACCTCAAAATCTTCCTAGGGCAGCCTCTGGTTCGGCCCGTGTAAAAAGTTTTCTTTTCAATTCGGCCCGGGGGAAAAAATTGTTGGCCACCCCTGGCTAGGGCCTTGTATAGTATTAGAAATTTAGACTAAACTTTCTGAGTTTAAATATTTTTACTTTTATTTAATATAATCATTTAGAATGATTAACTTATCAAACCCTTATTCTATATCCCCTTACAGTAATTGTAAGGAATAAATAAACTATAATGGAAACAAAATAGTAGAAAAATTACTTTTTTGCTTTATAGTAAACCATGTAAGCTATATTTGAATCTTTTATACGTATAGGTTTATGAACTCAACCAGAGGCATGCAAATTCTTATGCTATCCTGTGAGATTTGTCCACAGATGCTTCAAATGTCATTCTAGATTTCCTCAATATCATCGCCGAAGCTGGCCTCCCATCTAATTCCACAAATGATCGATAGCCGAAAATCCGGATACCGATCAAATCAAGTAAGCGTGTGCAATGTGACAGAGATTAGAAAAACCTGGAGGCCAAGAATTATCTTTCTGGAAAATGGTTGTTTATAACCCTGTCATGAAAGACAATATATGAGAATTCGGGATTTCCTGAAGGAAATTCCTAGGATGGATCGACCAGATTCGATCCTGGGTTTCTCAGAATATTATGATGATGCCTTAACTGCCTTGGCCATTCGGCAGTCGATTCAGACTGAACCTTGTCTTTTGTCTATTCATTGCAGTTCATATTGATGTTTAGTCACGTTCCTGAGTTTGTTTTAGTATGCTTAGTACTATAAAACTATCCTAGTTCATACACGAACGTTCTTAAGTTTAACGTTAGTGCTTGATAAATTTTTAATTGATTATATCTTCAGTAAAATAGATATAATAAAATACAATATCTAGTAATATAAAATAGCAATTTACTTTTAAAAAATAAAAATAATGAATAATTATTTTAAAAAAATTAATTTTTATTTATGTTTTTTTAATAGAAAATATGCAAATCTGTCAGTAGATCAACTAACTAGTCAATGTTCACCTAGAAAAAATGTAGTGTTCCTAAAGACACACAAATGTGCAAGCTCCTCCATTCAAAATATCTTCCTACGATATACAGATAAGCATAATCTAACTTTAGTACTTCCATTGTTTTCTAGCACTAACTATTTGTCTTCTACCAAACCATTTAATCGATCTATGATAGGAAGAGTTCCCTGGTCATCGTTTGGTTATAATATTCTGTGCCATCATATGGTGTTCAACTATCCAGAAGTGAAAGCATTGATGCCTTCAGATACTATTTATGTCAGCATAATACGAAATCCTGTTAGTGTCTTCGAATCCTTATATGTTTATGGTAATTTAAAGGATTTTTTTAACATGAGTCTTCAGGAATATATTAAAAATACGAAAAATTTATCTATGATTGATACGTTAAAAAGAAGACTTGGAGGAAATCTCGGATATAATCAAATTATATACGATTTCGGCATGTCTCCGTCAAATTTCGATAAAGCAGATGTGATAAATAAGACAATTACGAATATTGAGAAAACTTTCGATTTAGTAATGATTGCTGAAATGTTTGACGAATCTCTAATTTTATTAAAAAATTTAATGTGTTGGAATTTTGACGATGTGGTAAGTTTCGCAATAAATGTCAGGCAAGATATCTACAAGACTCAACTTAATGAAAGTGAAAAAGTTCTTCTGGACGAATGGAATTCCGTAGATAGGCAGCTATATGACCATTTTCTAGAAATATTCAAAAAGAAATTACAGTTTGTTAATCAGAATAAACTGAAAGACGACGTTCAGCAGTTGAAAAAACGCAGGCAACTATGGTATAAAAGATGCGTTAAAGAAATTGTTAATGCTGAACAAACAAATAAAAACGAGAGTTGGAACAAAATGGTCCATGCTTATAAATTAAAAGATGAAGCCAAATTTAGTTCAATGTGTCAAAATTTAGTGAAATCTGAAATTCAGTATACCAAAGAACTGAGAAAAAAGCAATTGCTCAGGAGCATTAAAGATAAAGATACATTTGAAGTAGAAGAAATGTTTTCTGAACTAGGTATAGAATTTCCAGATATGATAAATGTAGGAAAGAAAGATTTAAAAAATGTTATGCTTGCCTTATCAGAGATTTATCAGCACAAAGATGATGGTTTTCTTCCGGTTCAAGTAAGAGGTTCTCAGTAATGTAAAGCATCAGTTTCAAACCATTGTGCCACGAGATGAATTAATGTAAATAAACTATAAAAATATATTAAGTTTAATGGTTAATTGTGACGATAGCAAATGCTTGTTTTCATAGCAATTTCAACAACTGAAACAGCAAATAAACTTGGGAAATCAAAAGAAGTATCAAAATATGAAACATAAGATGGAATATTTCAAAAGAAACAGGATGATTCTCCACCGATAAGAATGACTGTGGGTTGACATTGATGGTTATGTGAACAAAATTTTGACACTGATTTCGAGTGAAAGTAACTTCGCGATCGACCTGTTGGCTGGTCACATAATATTTCACAATAAAGTTTGCCGCCAGTCCAAATAGATTGGGAACAAGCATTGTAAAACATTGCTTGTTCCCAATCTGTATATTTAAATTTTGATTTAAACATCAAAATTTAAATATACTGTACTATTCTAAATCTTTTCAATCTGAATTCATGAAAAAAACTTATTTTTAAATTAAAATTGAGATGTTTTAAATAATTAATGTGTGTTTAGGCGAATTTGCTTAAAATTGTTCCTATATAAATGATAATTTATATCGTTGTTATATTTGTAATTTTAAAGTTTGCTTATTAAATTATTATGAATTTTCTAAGTTGTTTAAATAAAAATAATATAAACAGTGTATTTCCTCAATTAAATTCGTGTTTTTTTTTTAAAACATACTGTACTTATTCCTTGTAACAGCATTATTTAGAAATAACACATGAAGATAATGAATTAGAAATGAAAAATCTTCTTAGGAACAGATTAAATATTAACACTTTTCATAGTCAACCAAGAAAATCCAATATGATGACATCTTATAAAATTTTTTATTTTTTCTGTGATAGCAGTTATATATTGTTCATTTATTAAAAGTAATTTATCCTTCCGAATTTAAATACTGTATATCATTAGCTGTTTTTACAAAGGAATTTTTAAACCATCATCAGAAAAACTGAATAGCTTAGTTTATCCAAAATTTTATTTTATACTGCTTGTGTGTTCAAAGATTTATCTTCAAAAATATGTTTCTGTACAGTTTGTTATTCAATGTAACATTTTTTCAATATTAAGTAACATAGAAATGGTCAAATATTTAGAATGGCTTTACTTAATATATTTTTTTTCCTTTAAAGTTATATACATACACAAAGAAACTTACCTTTATAAGTAGATATAATGAAATACTGTAAATATATGAAAATTTAATAATGAAATTAATGTAAAGATAAATCATCACATTTTAACAAAACGTTAAAATGTGGTGATGTATCTTAAATTAGATGATATTTAATATATATTGATAGTTGTATTTGTTTCATTTTTAATTTAAAGACTATAGTTTGGTCTTGTTTTATACAGAAACTGCATGCCAAATATCAGATAAAACATAACTCTGCATAAATTTCTGTCCCATACCTAGTCATTCAAAATGACTGTCTAGATTGGGGGCCTTGTAGTAGTAGGAATTTTTGGGGAGCCAATTGAAAATGATTAGTCCAAAAAGTTTATGTATACAATATACAAAGCAAAATTGTATTACACCACATTCAGTATATTATTAAAAAAATATATGCAAACCAGTTACACAATGAATAGCATTCAGATGCATTTTGACATGTCAGAATCTTGAGAAGCATGGTTTATTAACTTAAGAGTCAGATTTAGTGGCACTAATTGCCATATTTGTGTGTTAGAGTTAAAAGTTAACCAATTACTAATTCACTTTACTTTAAATGTTTTCTCTGAACATAATTGTGTTTAGGTTTATTGTCAGCATCAGAATTTCTATTTTCATTATCTTGATAATTTTTTTTTCTCAAAGATAGATTGAGAAATTTACTTCTAATTTTTGATGCCATTAGTTTTGCTCTACAATTGATTTTGTAACAAAATCAGTGAACATGTGTATTAATAGTCAGAATGACCTGTACATCCAAGGATTAGTTTAAGTATTCTCCATCTGTGAAAATACAAACCAATGTGTAAAACAAGACCCTACTGCAATTTTTTTTAATAATTTTAATTTTCATCCAATTATAATTTCTATTAAAATAATATTTAACATTTTAATCTAGCATTAATTTTAAAAATGAATATTCTGATTTATTTAAGATTTACTTTTTAAGTGTGTGTATGTTTGAATTATTTGAATAAGTAAAGTACTATTTCTCATAAAACATCAATTATTTATTAATAAAAATCTTCAAATAGTTGGAACAAGATAATCACAGCAGTAACACACGGTAAGTTAACACTGAACACCATTATTGTAAGTGGAAAACTGTTCTAATGCCTTGCACATGGTCTACAATGTCAGTCTTTAAATCCCTGCACTTACACATTTAACTTGCAAGACCTTGTATACATACAACAGTCACATGCTACTTTTCTTATTCCACATGGCCTGTGTTCCACCAATGGTGTCAAAACATGATCCCAGAGCATAACTCAGCTTTATATTTTGTTCTTGCATGCTGATGGACAGCCATTAATTAATGAGAAAAAATAACACTAGGCCTTTTTCCCCTCATAATGCACTAGTTATTCACACCAGGATTGCTTACATACATAATGCTACCCACCAGATAAAAACATATTATTCTAACATTTAGTTAATACATTATTTAAAGATTAAAATGGAAGAAACAATCATCAGTTTAATTTATAACTATATTAAACATTTTGAACTAAACAAAAATATAACATTTTAATTTCTTAAATTGTTAACTCATATTATTAATACTAAAAACAATAAAAAGCACCAATACGTAATTCATTTTATTATCTAATATCTAATAAATTGATTTTAATGGTATCTTTACCATTATCCCTCCCATTGGAAGGTATCAAGGATATATCCATGGTTTATACAGATCACAGGAAACTTCCAAACATTTCATTGATTAACAGAATAGCTGCATTGTACATGTCTTTGAATAAATCATTGGCTTAAGTTCTATTCTCATAAGAGTGGGCAGCATGAAAATTACTTCTTATTCTAAATAACATTTGCACAAATTTGCAACACATAATAATACTTTCTTTCTGAATACAATCAACAGATGAGATTCATTGGCAATGACAATCTGTTATGCAGAGAATGCATATAAATTCAATCTTCTCTGATAGTTGAGCACATGAATTATTCCATCACATGATATGACGAATTCAAAAACAGTCATATACTAGTTTAACAAAAGATCTTTTGTGAGTTTTTCAGAACTCAAATTTGGGTTTAAAATTCACGAAAATCATATTAATGATATAAATTAAATTATAATGTAACATATTCAAAAATGAAATTTTAATTTAGGGTTGCAACATAAAATGCTATCTTGTGATGGAAAAATTCACGACTTAAAATGAGAAGACCTTGGGTATTGCAAGAGAAATCATTAAATTTTTTTTTTGTTTTTTTACTAAATACTAATACAGTGGATAGAAATTTGATCATTTATACTATATAAACTTATACAATTGATTTGTTGATCATGTAATCAAACTAGCATACTTCTGAAGAAATACATTTTAGCTTCTTCCAAATCCCCTATGTAGAAATTGGGGAAAATATGAAATGTGGAATGCAATACAGACAAAGTGGACTATACTAAGTACCACATGGATACAAACTTTAACTTTTACAACATTTACAGAAAGAATTATGTAAATTAAAAACAATAACAATGAACAATTAAAGCTCTAAGTTTAATCTAAATTGGAACTATTCTTAAACCTATGCAAAAATCTGTTTTATTTTAAGAAATTGGCAAAATGGTATTGTCTCATGGTCAAATTTCTTGCAAGAAAAATTCTACTAGCATCACTAGATCAGCCATGATTAAGTATTGCAATAAAAATATGCTCCACTTTGTGCACACACTGTAAATAGTTACATACTGCAGTAACATCTTCAAAGAAGTAAAGATTCAAAGTTTATACTTTTTTTTCTTTTTACTTTTTATCACCATACACACATATATCTATTCTACTCCACCGAGAGGTACGAAAATATATCTGACCAGACTAATTTATGATAGTTGGGAAACTTGGCAGGTGTGAGGTGAGTCAAAGTGTGCTACACAAATATACGTCATGGCTGGTTTGCACCGTACTAGGCTACATACATGATAAAAACATTGTAGATGTGGATAATAAGTTATCAGTTAAAAGTCAAAGTAGTAATTCATTAACAAAATACTGTAGCAAAAAGGATGTGTTACTTCCCATCAACCTGAGGACAAACTGGATTACTTATAATATTTATTATTAAATTTTAATAATTTATGTAAGAAGATAGGAATAAACTTAAGGATGGAAATAACTGGCAAATATAGAATTACTTTTAGAAGCTGCATTAAATCTAAACTGACAACTCTAATGCAACTACACAATTAACTTTAATTTTGATTTTTAAAGTTAGACTAGAAATATTCTATGAACAAAATAATAATCACTAGGTGAATTAAAAACCATAAACACAATACACTTACACACAACTAGTATAAATTTATTCTAAAGTAAGGAATGAACTTGAAAATAAACAATGATAAATGATATATAGTAGTTTGGAGTGGAAGAATTCACATTTAAATCTATAATTTTAGCAACTCACTTAAAAAATATATATGTATATGTATACACTGTATATATAAATGCTTAAAGCACATAATAAATTAAGCTTCTATAATTAATTAGTCATATTTGCTATCATAACACATCATGCATATCATCATCTGTGCTAAATAATAATAAATGCAAACATTTATGATGTACAATTCCACAGGTACTAAACTACACATCCCATTGAGGTCATATATAAACAGCATTAGAGAAGGTCCGAAGTATAGATATTATGCATTCAAAACGTGCACAACAGCAGCCTTCTAATATTTTAATGCCAAAATTGGCAAATTTAGCCCATAGGAATCTCAAAGGTCACTAAAGAATACTAGTCATTGTAGTTAAAGGGCACCTAGCAAATGTTTGTACTATCCATCCATCACTAGTCTAAATGGACAGACTAGGATTAGTATGCAATCAAATACAAGTGCAATTTAAAAGAAAATATTAACACATGCATGCAACTATACTTTTTATAGATGTATATAGGGAAATATGAGATTCTGTTAAAATTAAAATATAAATATAAATAGTATATTCATTAATTTCAATAATGTGAAAACTTGACATTAAAATAACACAGAAAATCAAAAATACTTTTTTTAATTATATATGAATTAAATTAATAAGAATAGTGCACACATTAGAAAATTGAAATTGATAATCTAAATGCATCAAATATTTTTCTTTGAAATATTTGATACTTTTAGATATATAGTTATATTAAAATTTGCACCCATTTTAATAATTAGCAAGCATAATTATTTGAAGAGGTATGACACTTATGTTGCAGAAGTGACACTGCACATTTAATGTATGAGCAATACTTTGCTACAACGTTGAGCTATCACTACAAAATATTTTTCTGCTTTTTTTTGTAATATATCTTTTTTTTTTTATTTGAAGCAATTATTATGAGAAATTGTCCAGATTGTTTCTCGAGTCAGATGAGATTATCTTTAAAAGACAGATAAAAACATTTGCTTTTCAATATTCAAATGATGTACAATCATTATTAGACAGAAATGTTTATTTCATTTCTTAAAATATAAATGGAGTTACATTTTTAACTCCTTTGAAAACATTTTACAATTTACTTGTACAGCATTATTTCACAATATACAACAAATTTTGCTGAGACCTCTATCTGGACAAAATTTCAGCAATGAATTCCACTCAAGTATGATTAAATTTATTTCTAAAAGAAAGTACTACTGGGTATTATCTGAAAGGAATTACTTGGCACAAAGTTGTATGCAGTAATCACAAACCTAAGTTAATTGCGAATATTTGTTAAAACAATTTTCTACCAATTCCTCAATTTAACTAATCTAATTATACTGGATATATCTACTAAACAATTTACTTACATGTACTAAGAAAATGATTTTATATTATTCATTAAATGAAAATTCAAAACAACAATACTAATTTGAAATTGGTTCAATTAACCTCAAATTTCAGTAATAAATTTTTAGAAATAAATTTGCCTGAAAGGAAATTTAAAGTTAGCAGAGGTCAGGCACTTGAGTTACAAATTGAAAACCCACCCCAATTTTCCCTATCCCCAAAATTACAGCAACACTCAAGCAGAAAAAGATGCATATGCCTTATATCAGGCAGTTGCCCCTTAAAGCTGGAAAACTGTTTGAAACTACTACCTACAAATGCTAGAAAACTTTTAAGGCCAGTAACTGTTTATCACACTCACTCTGGTCAAATGGTATTAATACACGATATCACGAAGTGCACTGTTTATAATAATGGCTATTGGCAAGGAAAGATGGTAGCAAAAGTGATATCTACACAACCATATTTAGCATAAATATTAAGGGGATTGCAACAATTTCCAGTTTTTATTAATTGGAACAATTGAAATATAATCTACTAGCTATATTTCTTTAAAATAACATCTAATTAACATTTAAATAAATATTTAATATTAAATTATAGTTTATATATATTTTTTCTTAAACAAATTCAGATATTCTCGGCATTTATAAAATGAGTTGTTATTAAAATATTAAAAATCTCAAAATAATTTTATAATGAAATTTAGAAATCTACTTTTAAAACATTAAACAATGTTTCAAGAAATATAAAAAGCAGTACAATATATTATTAAAAGGGCAATTTTGTTTTAAAATACTAAAATTATATACACTATATATGCAATATTACATTTACCCTGAATTATATAAAGCCCTTTACATCTACAATAATATACACACCACTGTGATAGAGGAACTTGAAGGCAGTTTAATGCATAATTTCTCCAAAAAGGACTAATTAGCTGAGAAGGCAAAAAGCCTATTGTAATCCGATCACGCGAAGACCAAGATTACTGAGGTTACAGAACTAGCCTCATTATAATTTATGCACATACACAAATGGTGATAAGTATATCATGAAGTGCACCAATGGCAAAACTAACAACTAGATTCAGATTTCATATAGTAACAATAAACTACACATCATAGCTGCCTCTAAATCCTCCATGCATTATTTTTTGTGGCTCAAATTACCATTTATGCTACATTTAGAAAAAATGTGTAGCACAAACAGTTATATTGATGAAATGTACACTGATGAAAGCAACCATTTAGATAATATATTGCATCAGTTTGGTTTCATAATTGCAAAATTGTTTTAGGAAAACAAAAAACTAACATTTTAATTAACAATCTACATACTAAACATTATAGAATCTTCTAAACAAACAATTAGATGAACACAGGCTGGAATATTTGGAGGATACAAAGTTCAAACTTTGGAGGCAGTTTGTTCTGCCTCAGTATTATTCCCCTTATTAACATCCGTAAATGATTTTTCAGTTTTATCATCTACAGATTTATTTTCTTGCACAGAAGAAGAATGGGATAACATTGTTGATGTTTCAGTAACTTTCTCTGAATTTGCTGCAGAATTACAATCACTAGAATTTGAACTGAAATCATTGTGAGATGTTCCTTGAGTATTAACATTTTCTGATGATGTAATAGCAAATTTACCAGAACTTTGTTCTTCATAACTCAAATTTGAAGGAAATGACTGAGCAGCTGCTAAAGTTGGGTCCAAGTTAAAAAGTATAGTTGTAATCAAAGCACACCACATTGCAGTACGGGCATGTCTGGATGCTTTGCTAAGTTCCAAAATACTAGCAGCCAAGGCTACTACATCTGTGAAAAAATAAATATTATAAAAAATCTTATGTATATTCAGTTTTATATAAGAATGAATCAAAAATTAAGTTTATAAGACAAAGTAATATAATTAACATAGTCAAGTGAAAATTTAATACTGTAAATATAGAAAAACCTTCATTAATATACTTTTTAATATTCTAGTTTAAAAAATTTTGCACTTGATAATCTTGTTCCCTAACTCATTATACTCTGTACGGTATGATAGACTTCCTATTTTTCTTTTAATTAGTTAATTTATGTTTATTTATACCTATTTTATGTCTGTTTAAATATTTTTACCATTACAAAGTTTTAAATTTGTAAAAGTTATTCTTTTATATGTTCAATTTCCATTCTTTTAGTACTTTTAAAAGTTTACCATTTGATTATATCCTGATAGAATTATTTAAAATGATCAAAACATCAACAATAAGTTTTTCTGACTTGATATAGTGTTGAGTGTATCATATGTACTTTTATCCATTTTGCTCATTGTGTTTTTAATTTTTATTTTTGCAAACTTAAGACAATTAAATATTAAAACTGAAAGTATAACAAATATTAAATTTAAGATAATAAATGTAATTCTTCCTAAGCATGTTTATATAAATTTAATATTTAACTACTACTATAGTAATATATATATATATACAATATCCTCACACAGAAAATTTTTTATTTAATGATAAGAAGATATTGTTGATACATTTTATGGCATAATCAGGGAGTCGCACTGTCAAGGCTAAAATTGCCACTTGTTGATATTTTTATTAAAGTGGCAATAAAATTCTAGTCCACTTATTTCAACATTCAGAGTGAAATCGAATCACAAATCAGACTTCAGGAAAAACAGCAAAATGTCAAGCTTCCGTACAATGGGAGTTTGTGCACTGTACATCACATAGCAAGTTCAGAAAGAAAAGTAGGAAGTGACATTGAGAATTGAAGGTAGTTTTGTTCAATGGAAACCTTAGGGGCTGGAGGCTCTAACTAGCTACATACAAACATGAAAACCAGAAGTCATGTTATTTCAATTCAAAACTTTTCCCCTGAAAGCAGTTAATAGATGACCAGCACAACTCTATTGTTAAAAAAAAGTATGATGTACAAGGGCAAACACTACTAATAATTTGAGGTGGAGAGCATACAGTAATACCTCGACTTACGCGAACCCGGAGTTATGCGATTTTCAAATCTCGTTGATTTGTCTTTTGTTTGAGCGCCACGCAACTCTTGATTACTCACTCCCCCCACACTATTGTTCAGCTTACATGTTCGGACGTGTCGTGCAGAATCGACACATAGCTACAATTTATTTTCTGTTATTTATTTCTGTGTTTGTTATATCTACGGAGACTCGAGAGACTCTATATGGTGATTTCTTGTAACCATAAACGAATCAAAAGACGAGATAAGATTAACGAGAACATTTATTAGCTTACCTACATCCGACTTGGGTTTTACACAAATTGCGAAATTATGCCCTGACTTACGCAGTTAACGCTCGGTCCCACCTATCGCGTAAGTTCGGGGTATATCACTGTATATTTTAAATTTATTAAGTTTAAAATGTGATTAAAAATTGCAGCCCAGCATTGTGACAATGTTACAATGATCTTTTTTCAATAGACTAAAACAAAAATTTTGACATGATAGAACAAAAATTTTGTTCTATCATGATAGAAATTTTGACATGATAGAACATAAAACAAAAATTTTGACATGATAGAACCTGTGAAATACTGTTAGAAACAATGTGATCAAATGTGTTATTCAGAATTATTCATTAAAAATTATTCCCATTGCTAGCAAGGGGGAGGCCAGATGTTCAGGTCTCTGATTTGAATGAAACTTGGTGAACATCTAGCCCTAAAGACAAACAGCTCGTTGTCCAAATAATAGGAACCACTTCTCAAATGTTTCCAAAAATTAGGCTTCTGCAAATTTAGTATTTAGCTTATAAGTCTTCATATAGCAAGCAAATAAGACACTAAGCACTGGAGCTAGATGATATAGGTTCAAACCTTCGGAATTTTGATTTAGTTTAGTTAATTTTATTATTTTATTTCATCATTAGCATTATTATTAATAAAGTAGCCCCTTGTTATATTGCACGTTTTTTGATCTCCAAATTTTAAAAGTGTTCAAATCAATAAATTTTAAAATAATTGCCATTGAATTTCTTTTTGCAATAAAATACCATATTTTATTCCAACTATTATCCTTGAAATCCTACCACTGCAGGTGAAACAATAAATTCATCACAATCTAAATAAGCAAAACAGATGGATAGATCAATTATCATTTACCTTTCCTTTTGATATTAAAAGTTGTTTATTTTATTGGTTTTAAATACTGTCTCCTCATTTACAAGTTTCTGTGAATTCGAACTTTACACCTTTATGTGAACTGATGCAATATTGTCAACTCACATAAACATGTGAAATTTCCAATTCACTGAGTAATGTATAAAGAAAAGATTTCTTTATTTTCCAACAGAAACTTCTAAAATTTTTATCCAGTAGTAACTTTATTTTGGTTTTTAGAGAATTTTTACTCTGTAATTTTATAAGTTTTGATGTTCTATGTTCAATATTTATTTTTTAAATTTTCAATTACTGTATTTATAATTTTTATTGAAAAATATAAATTACACAAATTTTTAATATGGGATTTATTTTGAAATATAATACTGTATGATAAAATTGCAACTGATATTTTGTTTTTATATCAACAGTATTTGTCTTTAAATGTCATTGTTAAAGAAACAATAATGCCAAATGGGCGTTCATGATATCAATGCTTATGTAAACGTCAATTAATCTATATATATAAAATTACATGTACTGACTGATTCATTGTTGCCCAGAGCAAACTGCTGAATCTAGAGGTGAAATTTGGTACACAGTTAGGGTACATCATGAAACGTCATGAAAATGAGCCATCAAAGTGGCAGCCTACCGCTCTGGGGAACCTGGGATTGAATCCAGATGGGTCAAGGAATCCCCAGGAATTTTTTGGGGGGCGGGTCTGTTCAGATATATCGGGCCCTATCCCTCACCACCTGGTCGCCCCATTGTGGGCCTACTGTATACTAAGAAGGGATTTTTGGAAATTCCCCTGCAGGGGAAGAGGGAGAGGATTAAGGCTTAACCTGAATAACGGCTTCTACTGTACTATTTTAGATGCAATTCTTTGATTTTGATAGTAATAACTTAATTTCCAAACATACAATATCTACCAAATCATCCAAATCATTTGCCTGAGCAATGCTGGGCTCATTTGCTAGTACAATATAACCATGTACAGAATTCAGTATTTCAAAACTAAGCTTACTTTATTTATATCAGATACACTTACTGATAAAAGAACAGAGGGTAGAGATTACTATACAGTAATCTCTACCCTCTGTTCTTTTATCAGTAAGTGTATTCAGTATAAATAAAGTAAGCTTACTTTATTTATATCAGATACACTTACTGATAAAAGAACAGAGGGTAGAGATTACTGTATAATCTGTTTAGTATACGTGTAGAATTTTCAGTACTCTGTTATATTGCACTGCTGGATATATCAAGCTTTTTCTTTGTCTCCCGACAAACTACTGTATTATTATTCCTCATGTTTAAATCTTATAAAACAAGAGATTAAAAATTGTGACATCATTTCCTGTTTAGCGAAAATAAACCTCTATAGATTTAACTCTTACATTGTTAAATAAAACTTTTATTTCTTCACATTTATTTTCACATATTTTACTTACTATGTCCTCACAAGCAAATAAACTTCAGATGTTACTGCACATGGATGAAAAAGACAAGTGATATGAAAATAGGGTATCAAGTCACAGCATTTTACTTTTTTAATTGTTAATATTATGGACAATTTCCTCATGCAATCATGTTTGTTACACTTTGAATGTCACAACACTACTTATCTAAACATAAATAGAAAAAAAATTTTATTTAATAATGTAAAAGTTAATCTACAGAGGCTCATTTTCTGTAAAATTGTGATGTCAGACATCACAATTTTTAATCTCTTGTTTCATAAGTTTTAAATGTGAAGAATTTTAATAATAATAATAATAATAACAATGCTAATAAGTAATAACAACATGGTAACAAATTTTACACCTTTGTGTCCTTATAATATAGTTTTTGTACTTAAATTGTCAACAAGGACTTATTTATTACTAGGACTGGTTCAGAAAAAGCAGTTTTTGTTTTTCACTTGTACAACAGGTGAAAATAAAGACTGTTTTTTCTGAATTGTTTTCTTAATTTGCAGAACCAGGTTACCGGTATAATAAGTCCTTGTTGACAATTTAAGTACAAAAAATAACAATTTAAAATCATATAATAATAATAATGCTACACAAAAAAAAAAAAAAACTAAACTAACATTTCGAAGGATCGAACCTAAATCAGCCAACTAGCGCTTAGCATCTCATTCACTTGGACAAGGAGCTGTTTGTATTTAAGGCTGTGTGCTCACCAAGTTTCGTTTGAATTGGAGACCCGAACGTCTGGCCCACTCCTTGTAAATGACAGTTTAACATGTTACTTTTGCTTTCCAGATGCCAAACTGATAAGGCTACCAGCACCTACATTAATCAGTAAGTAAAACTAGTGGCAATAAATAATTTGAAAATGGTGGTGATATTTTTAAATTTTCTAGAGCAACCCCTGCATTATAGAATATAATTTTTTGAGTTGCCTTTTGAAGATAGCTTTTGACAACTCCTAAAATGTTAAAAAAAATTAAAATCCAATTTCTGTTAATTAAGATCATTCAAACATTTAAATATTAGTATTAATTACAAAAATTACTTTTATTATTTTAATCAAATCATTCCTGCTCTTCATTTTTATATCTAATACAACAGCATTTTAAATTTATATCATTTTTCAATACATATTAATGTATTTTATATAAAAATATATATCTTAATTAATTTCTATTCAACAACATATAGCATTTGTTTTGAAATATCTGATATTGTTCATATTCTCTTTGGTTAATACATAATTGCATTGTTAAAAAATATCTATAATATATACCTTTGTCTTCTTGAATGCGATTAGTAGCACTTCGATGGCGATTTGTGGCATTTATGATTTCATCCCTCCGACGTCCTTGAACATTTCTAATTGCTTCTAACCATTTTTCCATAGATGTGTGAATATTTGGATGAACTTCAACTCCACGTAATTGTTCCATTTTTGCAACAAGAGTAATTACCTATAATATAGAATTTAATGTAAGTAAATTTTCAGTTCCACCTGTATATAATAAAATACTTTCAGATATTAAAGTTATTAACATTGTTTTAGCCCTTATTTGATATTACTTTAAATTTAAAACAAGTTTTGTTTAAATTGCTAATGAATCAGAAAATTATATTTATGAAACATTTGTAAGAACATATGCATCAATATTTTTTATTGATTAATAGATTTATCAAGCTTTGAAATTCAAGTATACCAGCATTGCATAAATAAAAATCAGCATTATTATTTTTCTTCTACATGTATATTGACTGATTATAATTCATTAAATGTTATTAATAATTTATAAAACACAATAAAATTAATATTTATTGTTTAGTTAAAATTTTCTTCCTGTTCCAAGATTTCCATCTTGGTATGGTAAGCAGGCTTGCATGCCTTCTAGACCTTGTGAGCTATGCTAGTAGCAGCTTCGCTACCAACAAGAATACCCATGATGAACAGGTAAGAGAATAATAGCCAGACTAAGGTAGGATTGCTGCATGGGGCTAACAGCTCCACCATATAAAAACTTTTCTCTTGTTAAAAGAAGGCAAAAGGAAAGAAAGGCAGGGTCTGGAAATGGGGAGTCCTGACCTCAACAATTGTCTCCCCATCAACCAAGAAGCAACAGGACTGGAATATGCTTATGAGAAAAAGAAAGTGGAAGTGTAAATGTTGATTGGGTGCATGGAATGTAAGAGAAGTGAGAGGTCAAGTGATTAATAATAATAATAATAAAGTTAATTAATAAGGAAAATGACTGAAAGTAAGTTAGATGGTCTTTGCATAAGTGAGACAGACAAGAGTGAAAGGCAAGGAGTCTGGAATGTGTTGATCTGGTCCAGTGTGCAAGAGATAGAGCAAGCAAATGCAAGAATAGGTGTTTTAGTTAAGGCATGCATGAAGGAGTACATGAAGAAGTATAAGCAAGTGAAGGAAAGACTTATATGGGTGTGCTTCAAAGTGAAGATGCAGAAGAGTTATTGTTGTCACTGTATATGCCCCAGTGGATGCTGAAATGGATGAGTTTGGAAAAAATTCTTGGACAAGTGGGACTCTCTGAAGTGTATGATAATAACTGGAGATATGAATGGATGGATGGGTGTAAAAAGAGAAACATCTGAGAGTGTGCTAGGTTTACATGGTGATCCCTGGGTGAATGATAATGGAGAGTGATTGGTTAAGCTCTGTGCAGAAAGAGACCTAAGGGTATCTAAAATCTTTCTACACAAGACCATTCATCAGTACACAGAGGAAAATTGTACATTAGGTGAGAAGAATATAATAGATTTTGTTTGTTGTGTATGATGATAGACAGAGATGTAGTGAAGGATACAAGAGTTATGAGAGAAGCTGACTATGGCTCAGACCATTACTTAGTGGTATTGAAGGTGCAACTAAAGACTGGGTTGCAAAACAAAAGGAGGAAAACAGTTGCTCTGCAGCAAATAAAAACAGAGTGCCTGATGAATTGAGTGATGTGGAGAAGGTTTGGAAGCATTTCCAATCTTGTCTGGTAGAATCAGCAAAAGAGGTATATGGTATAAAAAGAGTGAGCCATGAGAGAAGGATTGCATAGTGGAATGACAGAGTTGAGTTAGCAATGAAAAAAAGGCTGCATACATGGACAGACTGAATAGCAGTATGAATGAGAATGAGTAAAGAGCAAAGAAATGAGAAACTGTACTAGTGATTAAGGAATGTAAGGACAGAATGAATGAAGACTGGACCAAGCATTTGCAAAGGCATTTCAGGTAAACAGAAAACTGTTCTAGAGGTAAATGGGTGTGTTAATATCAAAAAAACTCATCAAATCAAAAAATTTAGCAGTATAACACTGATTTATGAAAAACTTAATAAAATAAATGTTTTCAAAAAACCTCTTGTCATCTTCAGATTGAAAAGTAATTTGGAAGATAGGACATGAAGGACAAATGATTTAATAAAAACCTAGTTTACATTGAAGCCACTAAAAAATCATTGGAAAAATGGATTAAAGAGCTTATATATTTTATTAAAAAGAGCTTATCTCCACTATCTTGAATTATTACAAGCAAAACTGACATCAAGGTAACCCCATACATCCCAGCTCTGATTAGTCAACTTAAAACATTTAGAAAGGTTGAAAATTTTCAATGCATCATTTAAAAACATAGTGATTAATTATAGGGAAGCAGTAGAAAATTTCTTCCACGTCTATAAATCTTTATTTTGTCATCCCATAAACCTACTTTGATATCATCAATCACATCATGTATCAGAGGCAACCAATATCACACTATGTTTGGTTTATTGAACTCTCTGTTCTATATTCTGAATTACTTTTCAACCTAAAAATGACAATTTGATAAAAACAAATGTTGGAGAAAGCATTCGACTGTGTTCCGCGTGACCTTATTTGGTGCTCGCTCGGAGTCCATGGTGTCCCAGAGGCCTATGTTCAAATGGACCCAGCTCCTGTACATCGATGTGACCAGTGTGGTCAGATGTCCAGTAGGAACCTCACCCCCGTTCAGCATCAAAACTAGAGTACACCAGGGATCATTCCTCTCACTTTCTTTTCATCCTCTGCATGGACTGTGCTACAGCCAAAATTCAACATCCACACCCATGGACCCTATTCTATGCAGATGACATCCTCTTTGCAACAGAATTGAGACAGGATCTACAGGACCAAGTCCTCCAGTGGAATGACTGTCTGCAGATGTCGGCTTTAGACTCACCATCAGAAAGACAGAATACCTGGAGAGTGGGGCCCAGACCAATGGGGTTGATTAACATTAACCTGTCCTACATTGTTCCCGAAAATATTAGTGTTGACCTCATTGACCAGCGTAGGCAATCCCGAATATTTTCGTGTTTACATCGGAACGTTTTTGATACTAGATGTCACTATGCATCACAATTTTTATATTAAAACAAACTTTTAAAATATAATTTTTTTTGTTTCTATATTATTCAATATATTTATTTTGTTTGTGAAACATAAAAAAATAATTTTTAACAATACAGTAAACACGATTATTATTCTAAAAAAAAATTTTGGCTTAACATCGACGAAAATTCAACATGGCAAAAAAAAAATTTTTTTCAACATCGAATAAATTAAGGGACAAGACCTCAAGAAGCCCACTCAGTTCAAATACCTTGGCTCACTCATCAGCAATGATGGTGAAACTATCCTGGATCCAAAGGCTAAAGGCAAATCCTGGGCCAATGCAGCCTGCCTAAAGTGGCAGCAGTGCACTGGTGTCCTCTGTGACTGCTGAATTCAGACCCAGCTGAAGGCGAAAGTCTACAAATCTGTTGTCCGTCCAGTGGCCCTATATGGGTCGGAATGCTGGCCATCAAGCACCTGCCATGAACAAATTCTCCATACCATGGAAATGAAGATGCTTCGTTGGTGCCTTGGCTTTACCTGACTTTATCCTGAATGAAGACATCTGAAAGATCATGAAAGTGACCCCAATATCTGAAAAGATGCGGAAAGCAAGACTCAGATGGTATGGACATATCACATGAAGTGATGAACACTCAGTGGGAAAGACAGCATTACATCTCAGCCCACCTTGACGACAACCCCAAGGGTGCCACAAAATGAGGTGGATGGACTGACTGCAAGATGACATGAGAAGGGTGAACGTCACCCTGGCAGATGCATTGGACCGTACCAAATGGAGAAGGGCATGCAAGAAAGCAGACCCTGCATAGAAGCAGAACCTCAATGCTAGAAGGAAGAAGAATGTTTTTGAAAACTTAAGTTTTTCTTAAATCGACATTATATTACAGATTTTCTGGTTTGGTGAAAGTTTTTGATAATATTATAGTACACCCAGTTCTCAGCTGTTACTGAAGAGTATACATGGCAACAGAAAGAAAAGTGTACCCTGTGTACGAAGTACAAATGGTAAGCTGCTGTAGGATAAATGTGAGTTATATAAAAAGTGGTGTGAATATTTTGAAAGCCTATTGAGGTATAATGGAGGTAGCATGAACAGAGGAACAGTTGTGGAGATAATGTAGATAGTGATCAATGGGGATCTATTTCAACTGAGTGAGGTTAGGAATGCAATAAGAAGAATGCAAAATTGCAAATCTCCTGGTATGCATGATGTGACTGAAAAAATGTTAAAATATGGAAGGAAAAAATGTAGAAGAATGAATGTTCCAACTCTGCAAGTTATGTTTGGATAAGGGTATGGTGTTTTGTGATTGGAGAAATTCTGTGATTGTTTCAATATACAAGGGAAAGGGTGAAAGGACAAATTGCAAGAATATCCAAGACACAAGCTTGCTGAGCATACCTGAAAAAGTGTTTGCATGAATATTAGTTGACAAAGTTCAGAAGATGATTGCAAAAGATATATGGAAAGTGCAGGATTTATGAAAGGAAAGAGGTGTGTGGACCAGATCTTCACATTGTGAATAATTGTGGAGAAATGTTTGAATGTGAGTAAAAAGGTGTTTGTTGATTTAGAAAAAGTATATGATAGAGTGAATAGGGAAAACTATAAATATTATGTAATTATGGAGTGATAGATAAACTACTTAGAGATGTGAGAGCAATTTGAGAATATCAAAGTATGTATACATGGATGGCAAAATGTCTAAAGGTTCACAATTGAGGTGGGTATATGACAAGTGTGTGTTATGTCCCCACAGTTTAATGTTTTTATGAATGCATGCATGAGGAGTTCCAGAGTGCCTGAATGTGGAATGAGAATTGAAAATCTTACTTTTCGTTCTTCACACACCATTCCAATGCTTTATGCTGTTTTCTGTCATATGCAGAGTCTCATGACATTGTGAATTTCTGGTATTTGTATTGGAAATTTTCAAGTTATGGTAATCATGACAGATGTTGTACCCCTATTTTTGTGTATTCTGCAAAGGTTTTCGTGGATTCCTCACTTTCCACAATCCTGAGATCACTATTAGTTGGTCAAGTTACTTTAAGATCATCTTTTATATAATATAATAAAGACAGAAAGAAAAATAAACATTGATGCTATCTTTGTAGTTTTTGAGTCACTCTGCTATGACTCTACTTAGCTCCATAGAAAATCGTTCAACAGTTTAATGACTATGGACACAGACATATTCAAATAACGACTACCAAATGTTATTGAAAATTTAATTTCATATTCTTAAGTTTATTATATATTTAATAATTTATTTAGGTAATTTTATTGTAACTAAGTTTTGAAAAAAATCAAAATTTAAAATCTTTTAATTGAAATAGATAAAAAAAAAAAACAAAAACAAAACAAAAAAAGGAAATCTAGATTATAAAACACTCATAAAATCATTTGAATACAATAACAGATTTGAAAATTACCTTTGCATGTTCTCTTAATTCATCAACAATAAGCCTATCAACACGAGATGGATTCGGTGGTAAACGAGGAATTGGAATGTTGTTAGTACTTGATATTTTCTTCCCAGGATTTTGTCTTGCGAGTTCTGCCTCAGTCTATAAATTAAAAAGTATTTGTTAATACTTGCCATAAAATATCATTTTAATTTAATCTTATATGATAAGGTTTCTACAATAGATTTTTCAAAATAATTTTTTTCTTGTGAAAATATCAATTATAAATTATTATTTAGAAGTCAACTGTTTATTTTCTCATATGTTAGTTTTCAAAAGTAAATGTTAGGCAAATAACTAACTCCAAACTGGTGTCATTGTATATTATTATATTATCAACTTAAAAATTCTTTTTTTATGTTTAATTTTTGTTTTCCTTATTATATAATTACATCGGCAATGTTTTTTCTCTCTTCTTCTGTTAACAGTTCAATGTTAAAAACATTATTATTTAGACCATAGTCTCAAAAGTAGTCAATATTGATGCCAGGAATTGATAAAGCATGTTCAGGTATCAATTGCAATGGTTCAAAAAATCATTAGCCCAATTGGTTATGTGCAGAACATCATAGTTCAGATGTAAATTTGCACACTAAGTAAATCTTTTCTATAAAAATGACATGTGAAATAATACTAGCTCATCAGCTTTATTTATTTATTATTATTATATTATTAATTAACTGTATTAGAAAAACAAGAGATAACAAAAAGTCTAGGAATCCTTGAAAGGGCTGACAGTCAAAAAGTTTGAAAACCTTTGTTTTATATTCTATACACTAAATCAATGGTGAGCAACTTACGGCCTGCAGGCTGTAAGTTGCTCACCATTTAAATATATAGTAGATGGCCTACAGAATAATATATAATTGTATAATTATGTTTATTGTAACTTTTTATTATACACTCATTCTGTGTTGAACAATATATTATTTTATGTATGTCCTCCTTTTTAAAAAACATGGCAAAAACTGTCAATCATCTGACTGATCACAATTAACTTCTTAACCAAGCTGGCTATATATCATAAAAACCAAAAAAATTTGCCCCTCATGCATGCACCTACATATTTTTTTGGGTCTACTATTTAAAAAGATTGTTCCTCTTGCTCTATATCACATACTAGTTAAGCGCTGTTTTCAATATCACTTTACTGATACAAGATACATACTAGTGAGGATTAAGTGAGGGTTTTATTCCAGGTTCTAGCAATTTTTTAACATACAGATTTATAAATATTCACATGAAATACGGTACTATTCATTATTGATAAATGTAATTACAACCACCTTTGTTAGTAGGCCACTGTCTGTTCTTTGTGCTTTTTTCACCCTGTACAACAGCGGCACTATTTCAAAATTAGAAAAATGAAAACTGCTGAAGATTAGAAAATTCAGTATAATAAGTAAATACATCTCTATAGCAGAAATAAGATTTGAAGTGAACAAGTAAAATGTACACACACTACAAGTACATGAAAACATATTTATTTTGAGACAAAAAACTGATATTAATAACTGCTGCTTTTTATGCTCACTAATTTCATCAATAATATAAGTTATGGGACATTACGTTATAATCAACACAGCATGCTTCTAGGAAGAATCTTACTATTCTAATGCTCTCATTTGCTTTAGCAGATGGTGGAGATTGCACTTCTTCAGTCTCATCATCTGAATCAGAATTTTTAGTGTGATTTGCAGTTTTCAGGATATCTTCTGTGTTCATTTCTTCAAAAATTGGCAAATTATCAACAAGTTTTAAAAATTCTTTTGAAGTTATCCCATGTTGAAATTTTTTACCATTGTGTGTCATGCCATATTGAATTTTTATTGATATTAAGCCTAACAAAAATTATACGTTTTTGAAAAAATAATCGTGGCTATTATATCAAACAAAATTTTTTTATTATTTTGCACCCATAAAATAGATATATTAATAAATGTAAAAGCAAAAAAAACTTTTGGAAAGTTAGTTGTAATATAAAAATTATAATGACTAGTGACATCTAGTTTCAAAAATGTTCTGATGCTGAAACGAGATATCTTGGGTCCACTGGTCAAGGTCATCATGTTGCAACCAGAGATGTGTCAGGAATAGCAGGGAATAGGTTAAGGCAGTGGTCCCCAACCCCCGGGCCGCGGACCGGTACCGGTCCGTGGATCAAATGGTACCGGGCCGCCCAAGGAACATTAAATTATTTCCATTTTATTTACTATGGTATTTCCTCGGATTTGTGCGACTTTTAATGGAGACAGAACAACGGAATAAACTGGACATAAGAAACACACTTCGGGTATCATTGTCTCCTATTACCCCCAGATTAACCTATTAACCGTCTCGTTGCAAAGAAACAAACTCAGGATTCTCATTGATTTAGCGTACTAGTGAGTTAAAATTTTAAATCACATTATATTCATTTTTTGGTGTAACTGTATATTACTTTAAAGGCATTTTTAAATACAATTAAATTAAAATTATTAAATTAAATTAATCTAAAATATAAACAATCAACATCCCCCTTCAGTGGGCCACGGTCAAATTATCAAATGTTGGCCGGTCCGCGGCGATCGAAAGGTTGGGGACCGCTGGGTTAAGGAATTTTCCAATGTTGCTGTTGCTTGAAACTGTCGGCCCTTCTACTGTACATTTTCCTGTAATGGACTCAGGACCAATGGAATTAACCATCTGGCTCCAACAGTTTCAAATTGTTTCAGATATTACTCCATTCCAGATTCATAGAATTACAAAAAGAATAACCTTCACCTGGAAATATCTATAGTGTTCCTTAAAGCAATGGATAATTCCTGAATCTAAACATTGAAGTATTCCCGTACATTTGGAAGGAAAAAATTGAATTCTCATATTATTCAACTTCTCTGCTTTATGGCACATATGTTATCCATCAGAAATAACATATTAAGGTTTTGATTTCTTAGATTCATTAAATACTTTGAGCCAGATCCTAAATTCAACTGCAGTCATCCAAGTCTTTCAATTATAAAGGCAATTCACAGAGATTTGGACTGAAATATTTGAAACATTGAAGACATGCAGCTATCCCAATGACTGTTATGACTCTTTTGTCAGATCCATCTGCATTTGTACTGTACAAGAAAGAAATGTAAGCCTATCTTTTGCTTGGAACCAAACAAGATAGCTACAGAAAATTATCTTGTCTGGCTGCATGTGTAATGCAACCCACTTTCATTCATATTATAAACATTTTGCAATTCATACTGTCCAATCATGTCAATGTTTCAGAGGCATCTGATACAATTTGTTCAGCTGTTTCACCTTGCCAAATATACTGTGAAAGTCTATGATGCTACTTGAATCTTGCCTACCAACGCTTGCTGTATTAGAAGCCTGTAATTCCCATTTGTTTTTCAAACATTTTTGTTTTTTCTATGATTATAACTTTTTTTACAATTTCACGTTTGGCATTAACTTGAATGATCCAGATTATTGTGTCATCTTCAAGATTTCATGTTTAGCAGATCTAAGACAATGTCTTGAGGAAGGCTGTTGCAGCCACTTGATTTTTTCTTCTAAGATGTGTCCAATGCATTTGCAAATGATTGTTTTCTTCCACAATAAAGAAGTGTTCTGCTATTCTTTAATGACTAACATTTGGAAATTTCTCTTTGAATAAACTATTTTCTTGTTTTTCTTTAATCAAAATGCTCATTTGTTCATTTTGAGGAGACTCACATAACAGCAGATTACAGCAAGTTAACAGCACAGTAGAGTAGAACACTATAGAAAGGCAACAGATTTCAAAGCAGGAAGTGATGACTCGTTGCTGCTTGCTGTGGGTGAAGCACAACCGATATTCCACCAACACAATTCATTACAAAACTGTTTAGGGAAAAAGAATTCCAAAAAATTTTACTGACATTAAGTGTGTAAGCACAATAATGGGAATTTTTAATGTATACACCACAGTAAAGATTTGTTATTCATAAATATATAGTAGTAAATGAGAGCAGCATTTCAACGAAGGATACTAACAAAGGTTGACTTTATCTTTAAAAATAAAATACACACAAATTATATACATGCAAAGAGATAGTTTTTATTTTTATAGTCACTTCAATTATACTCAGATTATGTCTAAAAAAAATCAATGACAACAAACTCTGCAATATAATTCTTAGAGCATAAAAACCATAAAAACAATTAGCAAAATTAAGAGTATGACTGACTTCTCACTATGAATCAATCTGGTAAATTATTAAGACATCAAACTGTACTAGTGTGGTATTTTTATGTTGCTTTACAGAACTGAAAGCATGACAAGCTCTCATATCTTCAGTATAATATTAAGTTTCGGTGAGAGAGATCATAAGAAAAAACATGTATTTTGTAAGAGAGTTAATCATTTTGTCTACATATCATGTTATATCAATCTTTTAATATTCAATGATAACATTTCATATGTATGTTATATTTTTAAAGTATTATACAATTTTTTGAATTATATTATTCTTTCAAAAAATCAACTTCAACTATTCATCATACATACCTTCTTTCTTTCCTTTTCTAAATGTCTAAATTGCTCATAGCATTCTTCTAAACGAATATGAAGTTCATTAGATGGTCCAGTTCGCCTATAAAAATTTAAAAGTGGTTATTATTCTTTTTATTTATTAATATAATAAAATAATCTGATATAATTCTACATTAATTAGAAAATTAAAATAATTTTCTTATGCTGTCTTTTACATAAACAGTAGGATATTTATTTTAGAAACAAAATTTCCCCTCATTTCAAATAATAGTATCAGATATAATTTAAAAAATGCAACAAATAATAAAAACAAACAAATTTCATAAATAAAATAATTATTTATTTTAAAATTATTAATTCAATTCTTATTCATTTAAAAGCATAACACCTTTGGACTTTACAATGTGTCACCACAATGATTTGTATACATTGTACAAAATGCATTTAATATTACTATTTCATAAAAATGAGTTAAATAAAATTGGTTATTTTCATTTAACTTATAATTCCATAATCCTACAAACTGATTAATTTGAATTGTTTATGTAAAAAATACAGTGTATAATGAAATTTGGTCCAACTCAATGAAAAAATCCTTACAAAGTTATAAGTATTACAACAAACATTGTTAATAAAATATAGTACAAAATCAAATTTTGACATAATTTATGCCTTACCATTAATATTGCATATATAACCAATTAATACATCCAACAGGTAATCTTATACTAAAAATGGGCATAGGGTAGGCATTGTATGAGAAATTTAAACTTGGCTCTAGTTCTACAGTGTGTGAGGACTAATTTCCTATAACCCTGGCCAGTAAAGCCGAGTTGCAATGTAACAAAATACAGAAACTGGAGGCAATGTCAGAAAATAAATTCACACCTTATAAATTAACTCTAGCAAAAAGTTTAATGAAAGAAAAGTGTTTTCCACTAATTTAATACATCTTCATGAGTTGAGCATTCCAAAATAAAAAGTATTTGAATAAAAAGAATACTCATTAAATTCCAGTAGAATAGAACAAAAATATAAAATTTAAATAAAACATAAGTAAAATAAATATAAATTAATAAAAGAAAATTATTAATTTTTTTTAATTAATAATAAATATTTAACAAAATAAAATAAGAATAACAATAAAATAATAATGTAGAAGTTTCCCATTAAAGGACATCAAGTTAAAGCTCATACAGAGACATCCACATGGTAAATACTTTATTTATTTCATTTTGTTAAATATTTATTAAAGAATTTTTAAAATATGGCTGATGGTACAGTAGAGCCTCGAAAACTCGGCACTCCGGATAACTCGGCCACACCCTGGCAGGGCAAGAAAAATCCTTAGTTAATTAATTTTCATTATAGACAGCTTTATAAAAGTATAAAAGCTCTCATAAAGTATTATTCTGAGGTCTGTCTTATCGGGTAAATTATTGTACACAGTGTATTCATTAATTTTCATTTTCATGTAGTAAAGGCTCTATGCCTTCATAAAGGATGTACTTTTCCTTTGTTTAAGGGTATTTGGGCAGTTTATTCTCTGTTGTATTCTCAAGTAAACAATACATACAAGTAGAGTACAGTATTTTCTGAGGAAACACTCATACTTATTTTTTTTAACCGCATTCCCGATAACCCGGCATTTTCACAAACTCGGCCACCCTTCGGTCCACATTAGGCCGANAATAATCAATATTTTAAATTTTAAATTAATAATTTTAAAAGAATTATTTCATTTATATTTCGAGAAAAAAAAATTAAAAAAAAAAAAAAAGGCAGTCTATGTTTGTGAATTTTTGTGGACTGTCACTGGTGTTAAAATGAAGGAAAAGAAATGGAAGCAGTTTCTCTTTATATATACATTATATTTTTTTATATTTTATTAAATTTAAAATATATATTGTTAATTTTTATGTTATATTATGTCAATTGTAGATATGTGGTTTGTTAGTAGAAATAATAAATGTTTTTTACAAAATGAATGCAGTATGTTACATTAAAAAAAATATCACAGTTGAATCTTACTTTGTGGCAACCACTCCAAAATTCCCCTGTAAAACTACATACATTTCATTATAAATCAAACTCTATATTGATAGTCAGGATAGGAGTGTCCAAAAGTAACATTTATCCTCATTTACATTACTAACAGAATATGAAAATTATGCATTCCTAAACTCAAAATACTGTTTAAAACAGTGTTTTTCAACCACCACTCCACAAAAAAATTTCACTGTCTGCAGAAAATTTATTTGACCATTCTGGCACAATTAATTATGTATGATATTTAAATACAATTGCACACTTCTACATATCCAGTGACTTCCATTTTAATAATTTTTCTGAATTCTCCTGTTAAAATACAATACAGTGGTACCTTGGTATATGTCTACTTTAGAATACGTCCTGTTTGGACGATACAAATTTTGCTCGGTATACGACTTAATTCAATTATATGCGCCATCCATGAACAAGTAGCACTATCGGTGTACTAGACCAGACTAGACATTTGTGGTGCCACAGTTTATACCTTTGTTAAATTTTTTCTGATTTTAATTTGTAAGTAAAATTTTATTATTTTTATTAATCATGAATTGCAAAATGGCAAATGAAAAACAACAGAAAGCTAAAAAAATGACTAGAATCACAATGGAACTGAAAAAAAGAGATTGTTGAGAAATATGAAGGTGGCATGCGTGTTTGAGATTTTAACTGTTGCATATCGCATTCCGAGAACGATGATATCGACAATCATGAAAAATAAAAACATTATTAGATCTGCTATCATTGTGAAAGGGGTTAAATCAATTTCTAAACATAGATCAAAGACATTAGATCATGTTGAGAAAATGCTTTTGCTTTGGATAACTGAAAAAGTGTGCTGGAGACATCGTATCAAAAGCAATTATTTGCGAGAAAGCTAAAAAGATACATGCTGATTAGGGTTTCTCAAACGGGATTCCGGGATCCCGGTTGTTTTTTTAACCCGGGAAATCCCACAAATTTCTTAAAAATTCACTTTTTTTCTTATTTTGTGTTAAGGTTGAGGAATTTTGCAAATAGAAAGCATAATTAACTCATTCACTGTCAGAATACATTTGTATTTATTAATTTTAAACCTACCTATTAGTTTTTTTTAAATTTTTGCTCGTTATAGCATGTCACAAATGGTCAATAATCAATATATAGCTTATTTGTGGCAGGACTATAAAAATTCTTTACTTGTCGGAACCTGTAATATCTGGAATAATTGTGCTTACGCTGTCTTGAGTTTTAACCATGCCCAGTAGCTTCAATAAATGCCTGACGCCAGATTGTGCAAATTGGGCAAGGATACAAACGAGTACAAAGTCTGCAAGTATGAAGTTTTTCTTCATAAACCTGATTATTAAAGCCAAATGAATTGCCGAATTATCGAGCTCTAAGCTTGATGCCGCTATTAAAGCAGCCAAGGTAGACAAATCAAGAATACTAGAGAGCGAAAGAAGTACTACAATCTCGAAAACGAACTCGAAATCTTCCAGGCTACAGGTGAAAAAACACATAATATCTGTCTTCTCTTAAATGCATTAAACACTATTCCAATCACATCAATTGAATCGGAAAGGGCATTCTCGGTGGCAAGACTTTTCATTACTAAAATAAGAATTAGAGTGAGTTATCGGAGTATTGACCATCTTTGCTTTTTAAAATCTTATAAAAGTTTGCAATATTTTGTATTATATTTTATTTAAAAAACGAAAATTACCTTCTAAATTAGAAGTTCATTTTTTTTAATTTTTAACTCAATTCAAAACATTTTTTTTTGTTGTTGTTGTATGCAGTTTCCAGCAAACTTTAATTAATTTTTTTCTATTTGTGAAAATTTCTACGTTATTTAAAGGTAATTTTTATTATAGGCCTATAGACCTTACACAGCATTATTAATATGATTTTGGAGGTTACAGAACTTTAAAATTACTTTAAAAAATGGAAAATAATTATATCATTTGATTTCAAGATATCTTCTATACCTTAAAAATAATTAATTCTATCCCGGGATTTCCCGGGATCCCGGGAAACAGTTCACTTTTATCCCAGGATCCCGGGACAAGCAAAAGACCGGGAAATGAGAAACCCTAATGCTGATCTCATGAAAAATCAAGCAGGAACTAGCCAGGAAAGCGAGGTGTTTAAAGCCAGCCACTTTTTTTTACATGAGAATGGATTAATCATTTTTACATTACTTCTTATGGGAAAGGTTGGTTTGGTATACGTCCTATTCGGTATAAGTCCAAACATCAGGAATAGATTAAGGTCGTATACCGAGATTCCACTGTATTTAAATAAAACCTTTCCTACTATTTCATAAACATATTGCTTTCATCAACTGTTATTAAATAATTCCACTTAGTATTGTATTGTACAGTTTTTGAATGAATCCTGTTGCAAACAGTTCTATCATTTAATGTTAATACATTATCCTATATGAAAGTTTGAATTACTGTATTTTTTATATCAATATGTTTATTTTTGTTTACTTTTATAATTTGTATTAAACATTTAGTAAGATTCAGTATAGCCTTATAATTGAAACAAACTGTTAGTGAAACCTCTTCTATGTGGCTTTCAGAATTGTGTTTCATCCACAAAATTTGATTGATCGATTTTCATTAAACTTTGCCATTTTCTGTTAATTGCACCTGCCTAATGAAATTGGATGCCAAAAATGAACAAAACATAAGAACAAAGTAATTGACACTGAGTGAATGTAAGCATTGACTGTCAGAAGATGCAAGGATTGCCTCCTCTCAAGGATTATTTCTCCATGGCCAACAAATGTAAGAATTGCTTTCTTGTGTGGCCAGGAACCGTTTTCTTCTTATCACACACACCATACATGTTCAAACATGTGTCAGCACTTGAGTTAGATGGAGTGAAAGATAATTTATATGTATTAATACTAATTTAAAACATATACCAACATCTACATCCGATGTACATATGTAATACACCAACAACTGAAAAAATATTATTGGACTTCACGCCGAATATTGGATAAGCAAAGTTGAGAAAATTATCATCTAGGCATTAATAACCAACATCTATTGCTACAAACAACAAGCGCTTTCAACGAAACTATTTTCGTCTTCTTCAGGTTAAAAGAACAGTTAATATCCTTCAAATTCAAATTACAGCAACGGCAAACCAGCATTGGAATAAAATCGAAATAGAACTAAAACAGAGAATTTAAAAGATGCGTGCTCGGTGCCAACGCGCATGAGCAATAGATTAGTTTGCGAGAATGTGGAGCTAGCGACGTTGTTTTAATCTGTTGTATAAATTGACCCACAAGAAAGGCACATCCAGCGTGGGGGTGTTGCATGGATTTAGCACGCTGGTAAACAGCGCCTCCCATATATACAAGATGTTTCTGCTATCACACTGTTTGAGTATCCCCACCTGGTCCCACCTCGGAGTGTATTGGTGTTGCAACACCAATCTTGCCAACTCAGTGTCGCATCTACCCGTACTAATAGATTGTTTGTGTTCAGAGATGCGGCAAGACAACATTCTGGATGTCGCTCCGATATACTGGGTATGAGTACCAGATGTTGTACTTTCCAATGGGATGGAATACACTCCAGACCGCTCTAGCACAGACAAAGGATCCCTGTCATTGCATAACACTCTTCTAAGGTTTGGCCGCGGCGACACTGGCAGGAAGAGTGCATGCTGCCTAAAAATACGGCAAACGCGGCCGGTAATACGGCCACAGAATGGTAATGGCAGCTGGATTATCGTACATTCTTCCGAGGCCTGTAAAGTTGTGTCAGGAAATAGAGATCCTTTAACCTTTCTAAGGATGTACCTGTACTTAGATCTAGCGTAACCCGCCGCACTTACCGCTGCACTTATAGCTTCAAGCTCGATGTTGACAAGAGCTTGATTGGAAGACAACAAAAAGGCCCTTCTAATTAGAGGGGCGATAGCTGCGTTGACGTAGTGTTGCGGCTGGTACGCGGTGGCAGGGATTAAAGGAGGTATGCTGTTGAACTTATGGAACACGGAGAACACTATCGCACCCTGGGCTTTGGTGATCTTTAGATCTAAAAACGCAATTTCTCCTCCCTTTTCCTTTTCCCAGGTAAACTTGATGGTAGAATAAACCTCCATAAGAGAATTTTTGAGGATATGGAACTCCTCTTCCATGTGTTGCCAGGCTACTATGATATCGTCCACTTATCTAAGATATAATAGTGGGTATGCTATGGTGAGGGGGAAGCTAAACACTCTTTTCTCAACATGCCTCATGAGTAACTCCGCCAATATAGCAGAGAGCAGAGAGCCCATAGGTACTCCTTGTTTCTGGAGGTATACTTTCCCGTTGAACCGAAAGTAATTATTTTCCGTGATAAAAAGCAAGGCCTCTTGTATTTCTAGGATTTGCTGCGCTGTAAAACCCTCCTTAACAAGCATAGCATTGGCGAGCATAACCGCCTCAAACTGTGGTACCAAGGGGTAGAGTGCAACCACATCCATCTTGTAGAAGTTGTAATTGCAATGGGATAGATTATCCAATACAGTAGAAATAGCGGCCTTTGCCGCAATGGACGATGACGTAACTAGGGGCGACGGAGGAAGGAGCCCACCCAGTAACTTAGCTATAGCCTTCTCCAGGTGGTAGTTTGGGTGGGACCTTTTATTGACCAGCAGCCTTAGAGGCCAGTTCTCCTTATGGGTTTTTACTTCAAAAAAGAGCCTAGGACAAGCTACATTGGGCAGCAGATCCAAACACCCAAGAAGAGCGGAAATACTTGGAAGAGAAGCTATTTTCCTAGCCTTCCTTAGTACCGAAGGGGTTGGATCAGACTGTAAAACTTCAGCATGGGAAAGCCTGAGGAAATCTGAGGCTCTGGCCAGAAAATCGCTAGATCTAAGTACAGGTACATCCTTAGAAAGGTTAAAGGATCTCTATTTCCTGACACAACTTTACAGGCCTCGGAAGAATGTACGATAATCCAACCGCCATTACCATTCTGTGGCCATATTACCGGCCCCGTTTGCCATATTTTTAGGCAACATGCACTCTTCCTGCCAATCCTGTCGCCGCGGCCAAACCTTAGAAGAGTGTTATGCAATGACAGGGATCCTTTGTCTGTGCTAGAGCGGTCTGGAGTGTATTCCATCCCATTGGAAAGTACAACATCTGGTACTCATACCCAGTATATCGGAGCGACATCCAGAATGTTGTCTTGCCGCATCTCTGAACACAAACAATCTATTAGTACGGGTAGATGCGACACTGAGTTGGCAAGATTGGTGTTGCAACACCAATACACTCCGAGGTGGGACCAGGTGGGGATACTCAAACAGTGTGATAGCAGAAACATCTTGTATATATGGGAGGCGCTGTTTACCAGCATGCTAAATCCATGCAACACCCCCACGCTGGATGTGCCTTCCTTGTGGGTCAACAGATTAAAACAACGTCGCTAGCTCCGCATTCTCGCAAAATAATCTATTGCTCATGCGCGTCGGCACCGAGCGCGCATCTTTTAAATTCTCTGTTTTAGTTCTATTTCGATTTTATTCCAATGCTGGTTTGCCGTTGCTGTAATTTGAATTTGAAGGATATTAACTGTTCTTTTAACCTGAAGAAGACGAAAATAGTTTCGTTGAAAGCGCTTGTTGTTTGTAGCGATAGATGTTGGTTATTAACGCCTAGATGATAATTTTCTTCACCAACAACTACTGACTTATATCGAGCTATTATATTGTGATTATTTTAAATTAATTATTAAATAATTTTTCACTAGAGGGTGGTGTTAGGCACCTTCTCTTATTAGATTTAATAATGACAATTAAATTAAATAATTTAGAAAATTCTGAAAAAAGAATCAATCCGAACCGGGACTTGAACCCACAACTGCCATTTACCATGCAGATGCATTGCCAGTCTTCCTACTAATTTAAAAATTTTCAATTACAGAAATGCAATGTTCTGTCTCAATTCTATCACAATATGACAAAGTCATGTGGGGTATTTAGTTATAGTTTTGCATGTCAATTTTTTATATACCAGCTAGATGACCACCTCATTTATATGGCTAGAAATTGTATATGTTCAAGGTAGCCATATAAATGAAATTTTACTGTAAATAGAACTTGTATAAGCTTAAATTCACTGAAACATAGCAAAACATTGTTAAATAAATATGGATTATTGAAAGAAAAGCTATATTATTTTCATTTTTGCTCAAGTTTCCATCTTAAGAAGTTTTTTAAACTGGTCCTTTAAAAAACCTTAACCGAGTTCTATTGTGTAGCTTGTTCCTGACATATAATAACATGCATTCTAGGAGTTCCTCCTTCAATTGAATTTTAAATAGATTAGAGATAACTAATAAACACTGCTACTGTATCCGCATGGAAATGTTGTACTGTACTATGTACTGTAAAACATGGAAAAAACAATTCTGCAAGAAATATTCTTAATGTGTTAAAATATAAAATGTAACCGAGAAATTTGCAAAGTACTGTAAATCATTTAATCTTTTTGATAAACATTAGTTAATTAATAGTATTGTGGTTTTTGTCTTATTTCAAAAGAAAAAAACAATTTACAAATAATGTATTATAAATTGTCTTTAAACTTGATTACATTTCTTTGAAACAGTCACAAATTTAAAGAAGTGTGAACATTCTTGTTCACCTAAACCAGAAGTTCAAAAATTATAAAAAATTATTTTTGGAATGCTGAAGGTATTATACATATTGGTTTTCTTTTTTTAAATGAGATGTATGTGCAAAATAACTATTTCAATCTTATTAGCATTTTAAATTCAGCTTTTATAGAAATGCTAATAAGATTGGATTTGCTTTCATCAGATCATTACAATACATAATTGCCTACTACAGAAAAAAAAGCTGACAATATAGCCAACAACTGAAAAACTAGCATAATATAGTTTAGCAACTACACATACATCCAGTATATAGCCATGATCACAGTTTTATATATTTCTACTTGCATTTGAATTTTATAATTTTTCTTTGTATTTTTAATAAATTTCTATGAATTTCAGTAATATAGTAATCTTTTTTCTATTCCTAAAATCACATAGGTATTTTTCTACATATCTATTATTGTTTTTTATTATTTTATTTTCCTTGTTGTATGTAGGTAGCAGTAAAATAATATAATTTTTGAAAAATTTCAATATAGAATAATTATTTCTCAATTAACTTTATAATGAAATCAATATTTTAATAGTTGTTTACATTTTATATAAGCAATTATTGTTTATTTATAAAACAAAATTTTAAAATAAATACAATTACTAATGTAAGTCAAAATAATTTTACCTTAAAGGACGTAATCCAAAAAATGGTGGAGGCATTGCAAAAAATGCCGTTGGTGGAATCTGATCAAAAAATACTTCTCCATGGCCATAAAATGCTGGTGTACTTCTTCTGTGAAGATAAGCTTCTAATGGATGATACATTTCAAAAGCAGAATCAGGAAGTGGTGGTGATGGAAACTGGGCAGAATATTTCATTCCAGGTGAATATGGATGGGCATTATTTGCAGCTGTAAAACCATTTAAATCAGGTGAAATTAACTCTGGGGATAAATGCAATGGGAAAGTATTGGCCATTGGATGTGCTGTTAAGTGTTCTATAAAATCAGATGGCTGATGATTAAATGTTGTTGCTGTCTGATTTAGTGTTGCAATTTGTGGAACTTGATTATTAGTTGTGCTTGACATTCTCTCTATTGCACAATTTTCCATACCCTGATTACTTATATTTCTTGTAAGATCATTTGATAAAGAAACAATTGGTGATGACCCAGAATTTCTTACAGAATGATAATTTCTTGATGTATGAGAATGTGGCTGAGATTGAACAGATCTATTTTGACTTGAGTGTTTATTAAAAGATGCCATATTTCCAAGAGAAGACACTCTTGTAAGTTGATTGGCTCCACCACTATTACTGCTATTTGAAACACTTGTTTGAAAATGATTTGCAGTTAAATCTTCTTCTGTTAAATTTCTGTTTGTTGAAAATGATTTCTGATTAGCCTGATATCTACTGCTGAGATTCCGTGGAAAGTTTTGATAAGGATAAAGAACAGGTTGCTGAGTAGACTGAACATGACTATTATTGAGGGAGGATATTATATTTGTACTTCTAGTTGAGGCAGATGATGATACACTACTTAAATGACTAGCATTAGTAAAGGTAGTTTGTCCAACGGATATGTTATTTAAGATTGTTTGGTTTCTAGATGAAATCACATTATCTCCGGAAGATTCAAGGCAATGTGTGGAATTTAATGGAGGTTGAATTGGGCCAAAATTGGAACGTCCCACAAGAGCATTATTACTTCCTTTACCTTGTTGATTATTACTTATAAGTAGTGCAGAACAATTCTGTTTGGCATCATTTCTCCTATCTCTTTCAAGCTGGAAAAAAAGAATTGTTTTTAGGAAAAGTATTTGATAATTTATTTATTAGCATTTTACAAATCATATAATAATTTTTTAAATTAGTAAATAATGATTACATATCAAGAAACAAACAAAAATACATATAAATATAACATGTATAATATATATTTATTATACAGTGGAACCCCAGTTAACAAACGTCCTGGTTAACGACCAAATCGGTTAACAAACTTTTATTTTGCAAAAAATTTTTCTCGGATAGCGAACAAAATTCGGATAACGAACGGTATTTTGTGTCAAATTTTAGTTGGTGTTAGGCATGCGCGAGTTAAGCATTGCTTTTCTGAATGTTTGTGCTATACTTCTTTTTTCAGTTTTGTGATTTATATATTTAATCAATATGGCATCAAAGAAAGAAAAAAGTCATAGTGGCAATAGAAAACGACAACGCGCTATCACATTTGAGAACGATTTTGCTTAAAAGAGTAAGACAATCAACTTTAGATCAATTTCTTGTTCCTTACGGAAAGAGTTTGTTTGTTTGTTAAGTTATGGCAACGCAACACTTAGGCGATCTGCCGAGGGAAATGCCTTCTGGGAGGTGTTTTTAAGGGAAACTGGCCCCTATTTAGGCGTTACAGACGTGGAGAAAACCCGGAAAACTCCACATGGCCAGCCCGTCTGAGCGAGGTGCGAACCCACGAACGAACTCCCCGTGTTCAAGGTACGAAGACCACTTAGCCACTGGTGGTTTTTTTTTTTACCGAAAGAGACTTCGACTGGAAGAATCTTCCAATGAAGTGCTACCCGTTATTTTTTGGAGGGGATTCCCCTTCTAAGCATTAAGGTTCGTACATCTCCACTTTTCTGCCACCAACTACAACAAACGAAGGTATGTACAGTGCTATTTTATTAAACAAAGTTTACATGTTTGTTGCTGTAACGATAGATACTACGTTTTCTTACATTTTCATCAAAGAAAATTACTGTATATTACAAATAAAATCACAAAAATTTCGGAGACTAGAACGGATTAATTGCATTTGCATTAATTTCTATGGGAAAAATTGCTTCGGTTAACGAACAGAGTCGCGGAACGGATTAAGTTCGTTAACCGGGGTTCCACTGTACAAGATTTGTAAAATAATTATATTTTCCTCAATTTTATTTATTGGAAAAGTTTTATGAAAATATTACCATTTAAAAATTAAAAACAAATATGATGAATCTGAAATATAAACTTAACAGATTCAATCTGAAAATTTCTAATTAAAAAATAATTTGTCATAATTTCTTTACTATAAAAATAAACAAATTTATTAAAAATTCACACGATAAAACACATTAATTATACTTTTTTTGTTACCTACAAAACAAAACATTTAATATCCACAAGTGACGATATTAAATGTTTCATACAATAGATAACAAATTAGCAGTAGTTTAAAGGGCACTTAGCAGTAAAGTATTGCTATCCTGATTGTAAAAGATAATCTATTTCTTTCCAATTACAAACCATTCCTGATATTAGATAATTTACAGCAAAGTGAAATTTGATAGGTTTACTTTATTGAATCAAACTATGATAAAACATGCATTTTCATTAATACACTAGTATTTTACATTGTTAAAAAGTAAATAAAATGTGGAAATAAAAGATATAATTGTAATTTCTAACGTTCTGATAATTTCATAATTTCTGAATAAAAATTGGTGTCAGATGCCACATGAATCTTCAAAGGCAGTCAACCTCATACGACTCCTACAGGATTAAGATTTTTCATAATTTCAATAAATGTATCTAATATTTTTTGTATTCAAAAAGTTTAATTTCAAATATTAATGAAATTGAATCAATAACTATAAGTACAGCAATCAAAACATTGATAATCCCAGTATATAATTTTATATAAATTCAACAGGTTTCAACCTTACACAAGATCTGCTTCAAGAAAACATTATTATAAATTGGAATGCAGCAGATCTTAATTGTTGACCTGAAGCAGATCTTGTGTAAGACTGAAAACATTTGTTGAATTTACATTAAGTTATTTACTGAGATTATCAACATTTTGATTTGGTATACTTAGTTCAAATATTAAATGAATGAAACCTCCAAAAATAAATATTTTATTGACTGTTATAAAATATTTACTTATGTTACACATTTAAGTACAGTCGATCCCCCTATAACACGGTAGACACGTTCCGGTTTTTATGAATCCATTTTCTACGAGTCCAACCAATCACAGCCCGGCACGTATGCAGTTTACAGACTACGGCTGTTTGAAAGGTTTCTTCCATAAACTTAATCGATTCTAGACTAATTCGACTCAACATTTCCAAAATACGTATAATTTTTTGGGAATAATCCATATAAACTATGCTATAAACAAAAAATTGTGGGATTACTTACCGAACGTGCACCGTTTGCCATCGAATGGCGCTCACGTGCTTCCTGATAAATTATTTTTTTTGCGAAAAATTTGCTGAACTTCGGAGACATCATTAATATAAATATAATTTTTATGGACGTTAAATATGGGGAATAACTCTATAAGAATTAATTTTCTGCAAATCAATTTACAAAGGTCCATCAGTGCAATATTTGCCCTCTGAGCATTATCACAAAATATGACATAGTTATGGTACAGGAACCATATTGCTCTGGAGGCAAAGTATCCTGTGTTCCTTTCAGACATCTAGTGTTACAGGATACGAGAGACACCCCTTGGGCTGCAGTTATTATATCTAATAATACAATCGCCGTATTTCACCACAGGCAATTTACTACAAAAAATATTGTATGTATTGAAACCCAATACAACACACAAAAGCTGGTCATTGTTAGTGTCTACGCAACAAAGAGGGAAGATATACATCAGGAATTGCAGATCCTGCAGAACATCCAAGATTTCTTCCACAAACACCATATAATTACTGGGGGAGATTTTAATGCCTTCTCACCAACTTGGGGCAGCGAGACTATGGATCAAAGGGGGAAGGCCATTGAAGACTTTATGACACATAACAACCTCAATATTATTAATGATCCAGATTCTCCCCCAACTTTTGAAGGACCTAATGGGTCTTCTCAAATTAATATCACCTGTGTTTCATCTAATTTGCTTGATGAAATTCAAAATTGGAGGGTATTAACAGATGATAGTCTATCTGATCATAATTATATCTCATTCAGGTTATATAAAGAACATGGGAACACTTTTGAAGTTCATCAAAAAATTTATAACACTAACAATGTTAATTGGGAACAATTTTTTGGTTACCTGGATAATTACATTATCTCACAGCCTGACTTGCAGGACAGGGATGCAGCAGTGGACTTTATCAACCGGCAAATACATACCATCAGTAACTCCTGTGATTGCACCTTTTCTATTCGCAAGCCAAATAAAAAGGGAGTTCCTTGGTGGAATGATGAGTTGGCAGACATGAGATTAAAGAACAACAGAAATAGGAGACTATTTCAATGCTGCAAAACTCCTGAGAGAGTTTTATTAAAAACTCAATACCTTGAGTATCAAGCAAATTACAAGGCTGCCATCAGAGAAGCCAAGATTCAGTCCTGGTGTGAATTCTGCTCATCTGCCACATCTGATCCTTGGGGGTTTGTTTACAAGTACTGTGCTTTGAAACTTAAAACACCCACCTGTCTTACAGGATTCACAGAAGGCATTGGCGGCATTATGGAAAACACAATTGAACATTTGATGGACGTTTTGTGTCTGAAAGATAATCCCCTAAACGATTCTGAATTTCATCAACATATAAGAAATCAAACAGCTACTCGTCCACTGGTCTCTTACCCTCCTCCTCAGTTCACGGTAGTAAAAGTTAATGTGGCTATAAAAAGACTGGCACGCAGAAAGGCACCAGGCCCCAATGGGATCACTACTGATATAGTCAAAATGATATGGGAACATCACCCTGAGATCCTTTTGAATCTTTACAATTGCTGCCTACGTTATAATGTCTTTCCAATAGCATGGAAGAAAGCAAGACTAATCATGATTCCAAAAACAAGGTCAGCCAATATTCACACACCAAATGATTACAGGAACATCTCTCTTCTACCAATGATGGGAAAGGTCCTTGAACGTCTTCTAACAAACAGATTGACCTGGCATTTGGAAACCCAAGGTTACCTGCATCAGCAACAATTTGGATTTCGTCCAGGGAAGGATATGGTTGATGCCATTCTCTCTCTAACATGTAAAATCAGAGAGCTTCAGGAAACATATCCTTACATTCTTGGACTCAGTTTTGACATTGCTGGTGCTTTCAATTTGGCTTGGTGGCCAATGGTTTTATTTAGGCTTAGGCAAAGCCAATGCCCTGCTTACATTTATAACATGATCAATGAATATTTACAAGAACGCATGGCTACCTTCAGCATTGGCTCGATCACATTCAACAGGCAAATCACCCGTGGTTGTCCTCAGGGGTCTGTCTTCGGCCCCATCCTTTGGAATCTTATTTTTAATGATTTCCTAAATACAAACCTAGGTGGTGAATGGGCTGTAGTGTACGCGGATGACGCTATGATTCTAGTATGTGCTCGATCCAGGGCAGAAATAGAAAAAAAGGCAACCAACATCCTAGCTAAGGTGGTGGAGTGGGGTACAAACAACAAGTTGGATTTTAACCCCAAAAAGACTAAAGGTATTATCTTTACAAAACCAAGGGCTCCACACCTATACAGAAGAACACCTACAATCCATATGGGAAACACTAGTGTACAGATTGTACCTTCACTAAAATACTTGGGCCTGATTCTATCAATACATCACGAGCTCAGCTGGATACCTCACATACAGTACATCTGTGATAGGACAAACCTACTTTTTAATACCATGTCAAGAGTAGCAAAAAGTAAATGGGGGCTTTGCTAAAAATTATGAGCATAATATATGATTCAGTATTTATACTAATGATTAGTTACGCTGCTCCAGTCTGGTCTGACTGCCTCGGAATGGTGCATATTGATAGAAAAC